ACAGGACGAGAAGAACCCGGCGTATGTGGTGCGCAAGCGCGACTGGACGAAGAGTATTCGTCCGGCGCAGCTGCCGCAGGATAGGGCGCAGAATCCGAGCGCGTTTGCGTTGCGGTACGGGGTGTATCCTGATCGATTGGATGGTAGGTCGCGGTTGACGCCTACGAGGGGTGCGTTTCGCAAGTTCAAGTATGATGGGGTTGAGGTTCCTGGTGTGACGGCGGAGGTTGTGATTAAGCAGGCGGAGGGGTTTGCTAGGACGGCTGGGTTGACGGGGGTGGATGGGTTATTGGAGGTGTATTCTGGGATGAGGGGGGGTGGTGGGAATGAGAATGAGAGGTTTGTGTTGAGGGCGTTGGAGGGGATGAGGGATGATGAGGATTTGCAGATGATGATGTTTCGGGGGATGACTTCGCATGAGGTATGTTGATATTGCGTTTGTGAGCGTGTTTGTGACGATGAGTTGAGGTTGATGAGTTTGGTGTAGTTGATTGAGGAGGGGATGATGTCGATGAGGAATGGGAATGCGTGTGATTTGAAGAATGATCTTCATAAGTAAGTTCTGGGACGCTTGCCCCTATCTTCTCGATGTTATCTCAGCTGACCTGTTTGGATGGATGAAGGTATCTCACAAGAGACAAGTGGGTTGAAAGCACATGGCGAGGATGCGACCCCGACAAACCAAGACTCGTCTACCAATCCGGCCAAGTAAAAGGAGAATGGGACCCAAGAGTGAGAAACGATATATCTCCTTTCAAATCACGCTCGTACATACAACAAGTCGAGAGCTAACACATATCAAGACAAACGACTACCTCTGGGAAAAAATGCAACCAGCCCTCCTCCTAGCCTCCCGCATCCTAACCCACCTCGACAAAAACGATCCCTACTGGCGCCGTCTCCACGACGTCCTCAACCGCCAAACCATCGACGGATCCCACGACTACCGCACTTCCGAGATGCGCAAGAAGAACCCGGCCGTGAAGTTCACCCTGCAAGATTACGACGGCGGCGGGCAAAACGCCATCGTTGACGACGAGACTCGCAAGGACATGTTTGACGTCCACTTCGAGGTTCTCCACGTTCTGCAGACGAGAATGCGGTTCATGCTATGTAGCGGATATAAGGAGGAGGATAGTGGGACGGCGGGCGTGACGTGTGTTGCGGGTTCATATATCGATGTGTATATTGTCGCCGACGCGTTGTGGCCGTTGGTTGTACCTGGGTATAGTGATGATGAGAGATTGTTGCAGGGTTTCTTTTTGGCTTCTACGATTGTTCATGAGATTGCCGTGAGTCTTGGCTTCTGTCAGAAACTCGTGCAGAGACTACTTATCATAGATTTGGCTGACGTTGATGTGGGTAGCATGCGGTCAACTATGCGCACCATCTCGTTCTCTTGCCGCCGGACTGCTTCCAAGTTGAGACCTGGAAAGCCACCCCGGACAAGGTCAAGAAAGTTTCAGAGATTGGGTCAAAGATGTTTTCCAAATTTTCGGAGGGCCACCTTGAGCCATTCTTCGAGGATGAGTCGCAGGCTGAGCTGGGTTTTTGTACCGAGAACCGGGTGAGTTGACTCTATTTGTCTTCGTTTCCTCTACCTTCTTTGCAACTACCACTACCGCCTTGTGACTCAGAAGCAATGGTTATGTAGACAGTTACAAACCACACTGACACATCACCAACTACCTATTAGCTCTTCGGCGGCGTTCACTGGAACATCATTTCCCCCGAACTGCCCCATCTTTTCTTTCTGCCTGCCGCCATGGCAATGGAGAGGTGGCCACGGCCCAAAGGCGATTGCGGCCGTCTCCCCGTCGAAAAGCTCGAAAAGAGCCCGGACAGACTCGTTCTCGACCACATACCGCTGCTCCCGGACCAATACGTCTGCCCCACCCGCGTCGCCCACATTGTCCGCCTCTTCACCGAAGCCTTCTGGGGCGTCGAGGTGAACAAGTACGGCCCTGCAGCGCTGCGCTTCGGCGGCTTGGACCCGGTCAAGCTCCCCATCATCTGGCCGCGCATCCAGCTGAGCGCCGCGCTGAGAGGTGTGCTGGCGCCGAGGGGCGATCGGGCTCTGGAACTGCTGCCGAAAAGCGACTCGGAGGAGATGCTTGAAGCTGGCCCGACGCTGCAGCGTTTCTTGTACCAGGCCGGGACGGAGTTCCTGAGGCCGCATGTGGTGCGGTACCGGTGGGAGAGAGACCACAAGCACTTTGTCTACTCACGGAACGGACAGATGGTCACACACATGTTTCAGTTGGCTGTCATCGTGATTGAGACCCATATTGCGTATAATTTGCGGCAAGGTACCGAGGATGTTGATAATAGGATAAAGAGCAGAGCGTGGCTGAAGAGCTGGAAGAAAGCTGAGACTCGGAGATGGGGGTTGATGCTCGACAGGAGTTTACAACATTCGCGATCGTCATTAGATGGCAAGCTATGCCCTTTGCCACATCGATCGGTTCATCCGCTCCAAGATGAGGATTATTTCTGGCAAAACATCCCCGACCTAGGGACGAGAGCGGGCCAGAGAACAGCGGAAGTACTACGGCGGATATACGAGGTGATCATCTTCGAGATCGGGTGCTTCCAGCAACTGTTTATCGACATTTACCACCTCGACGACGCAGAGCTCGAAGCGTTCCAGGCGACGAACGCGCCCGAGGACCTGAACTACCGCCTCACGGTTACAACCGATCTGGGAACGGAGGCACTGCGACAGGCCACGAGACTCGTGGCAGACTACGGCGGGACCGGTTTCTTACCCGCCGTCAACATGGCAGTTCTCCATGACTTTGTGGGGAAATTCACCAACATGAGGGCGCAGCTCGAGGAGATGAGGCCTTGGGCTGAGAATCTTTCCGAGATCAATCCGTCAAACTATAACCTCCTGCAACCCATCATACCGAGGCTCAAGATCGCGCGGCGGCTGGCGACGGCGAGGATGGTTAAGCTCGTGCAAAAGGAGCTTGAGATGCTTCCTGTGGAGACTTTGGTTGTCATTGAGAAGTTTCTCAGCTTTGTGAAGACGACGGTGAAGGCTGCGGGCCAAGTCAAAATTGATTTGGCGAGGGACTGGGAGATGGATCTGGATGAGGTGATTACCGAGTTCGAAAAGAGGGATAAGCTTGATCAGCCTGGCTTGGTGGAGCATGTTACTGACGAGGAAGACCTCGAGGATGGCCTTGCAAGCAATGATCCGCTTACTGAAATTATCAGGAAGAGGAAGCCCAAGAACCCCTGGAATGGAGCAAATCACCCTCCAAAACGACTCAAAAGACCCAGGATTGCGGCACCGCAGCTTGTTCCACAGCCCCTGGCGCATCCTACGCCCTTTTCAAAGTACTCTCCGCCCAGGCATAGGTTCGGGGACACCATCAAAGCCAGCCGCTTCTCCAGACGCAACATAGTCAACGCCGTCCCGGACCCGATGTCCAAGATCCCAAACGTATTCGCCAACATCCCAGACATATCCTTCCCGCTATCGCAATCTCCTTCCGGGTTCGCGGGATATGGTCCAGGCAAGCAGCAGCCGCCGCCACAGCTCCCTACTCATGCTTCTGTATTCGGCAGACCTGGGATCCAGATCGCAGAGGGCCCCGAGCCGATGGGCATATTCCCCCACGCGTATGCCTTATCGGCATCCTTCACGGAGGACCTCGAGCACGAGGCTAGGGCCCGACTTATGCTCGCGCAGCAGAGTCCCGCTCACTCCGCGCTGGGGTTCAGGGAGAGACACGGAGCGACGCTGGCGAACGCATATCGTGATCCTGCGCCTCCAATACCGGACTCCCCTGAAAGGCACAACAGCGGCGCCGCCTCCGGGTTTGGATTCGGTGGTGGGTATCGACGGCGAAGAATCCCAGATCCGCAGGATCATTCGCCGACTACGGAAGAAATATCCAGCTTATCAAGTTACCCGGGTTCGACTCCGGGAAAAGTGAACAGGGGGAAGGGGGCGGCGGGACCTGGGGACGTAGATGCTGCAGATGAAGACGAGAGATGGGGGACAACTAGCACAAACAGGGCTAGCGCACTCAATATGCAGCGAGAACTAGATATGAAGCAAGGGTCGAAGGAGCATATTGAGGAGCAAAAGCGGCAGCAGCGGGAGTGGCTGAATAGTCTCGCAAGACAGCAGGCACCGGCCGGTATGTTGGAGATGGATATGAGGCCTGACTATAGTACAGGACCTTTAGGAGGAGGATCAAGTGCTAGTATCGGCGGGTCGGATGAAGGAAGCAGCCAGAGGCCATCTACTGCATCTTATCGGCAGAAGGTAAGGTATTTGCCAAACGACATGGACTGGGTGCCTGGTTAAGGATCACTTGTTCAATCAAGCCTAGCCTTTGAAGCAGGGGAAACAAAGTCTTCTTTGCCAGATAAGCTAAGTCAGGAATGGCGAATCTGAATATGTCGATATGTTTTGGATGAAGGAGTTAAGGAGTCCCCGTGGAGGCAACGGCTTGTTTTCTATTTGTCTCATTTGGTAAGCAGGCATACTTGAATGCGACTTGAACTCAATGAAGCTTTCCTGAGACATGCGTCTTGCTCAGGTTTCCCAGGTTCATTGATGAAATGATTGTGTGACCTCATGTGTGCAATCTCCACCGCCAGATACTATATGCGTATTCCTCAACTCGAACCCTGAGGTATCACAGGACAAGGTGGGATCCGGATGATAGTCCATAACCTGGTTCATCTCATCCGTTCTCAACAGCAGTAAGAGGGACTTCTGCCCAGAAGCTTAAGATGGTTATACCCCTAATCCTGAAGTGCAGAGCTACCGAGCTGTAGCTTGGGGGTTCGAATTCCACAAGCGCCCTTCATGTTTCGTGTTTTTGTTTTACTTCTCTCTTTTTTTCTTCCCTGCTTGAGACCATAGTACCTCGCTCTTGATAAAGTCACATGAGGATACTGGAAACCAATACTCGCTTAAGGATTCACTACCTTCTCCTCTGTGCAAATGCCACGTATCATCACAACTCACTCCATCTTCATATCGCATCAATATCAATCTCCGGCGCCTCCCTTCTCCTAAACAATAGCTTCGCCGTACTATCCGAGTTCCACGCAAACCCCCACTCCTGCCACTGATGCTCATACCCAGGCGTCAACTTCCAGTCAAACTTCATCAGCAAATGCGCCAGCGCAATCTTGAGCTCATTGCCGGCGAAGAAGCGACCCGGGCACGCGTGCTGGCCATGGCCGAAACCGAGGTGCGAGGGTGATGTGCTGACGAGGTGGGCTTGGCTATCAAGCTTCGGGTCGCCGCGCATCTCGAGGAAGCGATAGCCGTTGAAGGCTTCGGGGTTCGGGTAGATGGAGGGATCGTGCATCTTGCCTAGGTCGCCGACGCAGCGTTCTCCTTTTTGGAGTTTGAGGCCGTTGGGGAGGGTCACTTGGCGGGTTGCCATGCGGGCCATGATTGCTGGTTGGTGTGGTGAGCGACGGGTGCTTGGAGGATATTTTCCTGTTGTCACAGGAAATAAAAGGAGAGACTTACCAGATGTGACTGGCTTCAGTCGTTGTGACTCTTTCAAGACGCTGTCCATGAGTTTCATATTGAAAAGAGCCGTCTTCTTCCAGCCTTCAGCGGTCAGAACTTCAACAATTTCCTTCCTAAGGGCATCAAATAACTCCGGGTTCTCTGCAATGCGTAGCATAGTCTCCACGAGTAGATCCGTGGTGGTATGAATTGCAACGACCGACAGACCCAGCTGCGCGCCAACAACATCATACTCCCGCCCCTGACTCTCCTCTTCGAACCAATCAATGCCATCATTAAACTTCGGTGCCGGCTCGCCCCTCTCGATAGCCTGCTGTCGCGCATCTCTACGTTTTTGAAGCACTGGCTCAATGATGTCTCGAGAATCAGATACCTGCCGCCTAAGAGTTTTGCACTCAGGGAGGATCAAGTTGGCGGCGTAACGCAGCCAGTATGGGTACGGACGCAGGATCTCGGCGCCGAGGAAGGCGTTGACGGTGTAGGACTTTGTTATCGCGAGCCAGGCTTCGTCGCGGCATACTTCATCGCCGAGAAAAACGCGGGAGGAAAGGCGGCAGATGAGGTCGAGAATGGTGTCTTTGGTGTTATACTCTTGCCAATCTACATAGAGCAGTCATAAGCGTGTTAGTAATGTAAACAGATGACAAACGGTTACTCTACAGTTGGCGTGACAAGAAGCCTACCGGTGGGCTTGCCGAAGATGTGATCGACAGCAAATCTGGTTTCCGACGCAAGAGGCTCCGTGATTTGATCTGCATCATCGTGTAAGTATCGTGATGGTGTGTTGCTGTAACGTGGGGTCTCAATGTGGGGTGTGGGGTAAGAAGAGGGCAACTTCGTGATGGAGAGCGAAAACCTACTGAGTAATTTGGTGATGCGCTTTTTGATGACAAGCTGAAAAAGTCCGTCCGGTCTGTTGCCAACCGCGAACCCTTCGAATCCATTCAGTTGAGGGTGGAAGTTGTCTGCGAATGCCTTTGAAAAGCTCAACCCTGGCTCATTGCGAATATCGTGAACTAGATCCGGCGGAATGACAACTGTTTCACCAACGTCCGTCATGAGTCTGTAAGGCTGGCCGGGGAATTGAATTCGGGCGTCTTCCATGATACGACGAGCATTTATCAAGAAACCCTTCTTCCGTTCTTGGTTGAAGAAATCGAATAGTCGCCCCGGGTTGACGGAGGGGAGTTTGCGAGAAGGCTTGCGAATGTGGGGTATTATCGTGAAGACGCTGATGAGGATAATGCCGAGACATAGTGATGTCCATAAATCCATTTTACGTATGAGTGATGAATCGTCGGCCCATGAGCTGAAGAGATGTTTGGGGGGTGTTATGGCCTCCATTTTGGCAGTTTAAGGTGGGAGAAGGTATGAAGCAAAAACTGATAGACCAAGCTTGGAGATGGTGAAAGGTGTAAGTGCGTCTACCATCGACTTATATACTCTCCCCGGTCTCAGAGGGGGCAACTCGGCGGTGAACAACTAATCATCGTCGATTTCACCATTACACGAGAAATTTGGTATTATAAGTCAAGAATTACTCCAAACCATCTCCACGTTGACGTTGTTTCTAGTATATCACGGTGCTAAATCGCTGCCCGCCGGCCAACACTCCCGTCGTTGCAACTCTGCGCGACCCGCCGCCAACCCTGTCCGTAGCCGTCTCAGACGAATCAGCGGCGCTTACAACTGGGGACCGCGTCTCTTAAGTTCCGAGTCATGCAGATCATTGTAGCAAGCTTCGGAAGCAGACAAGTGCCCGACAGCGGGACGGGTGGATCTCTAAAATCTGGGATAGTTTTTGATGCCCCCCGGGGAACCGTCCTCAAAAGCGACGACCATCCTCCTCAAATATTTTTCAGTTTCTAGTTCTGTTCGTGCGAGGTCTTGTTTCTTTGTTACGACTCCCCGCTTAACAAGACTGTCCCCACTTACACCTCGCAAATTCTTTCTTAACCCAAGGCCGACGATGCGGGGGTTAGCCTGGTGTTTTGACGCGACACGGGCAGTGATGGGTTACTAAAGTTCAACAACGCGGAGTGCGAGGGCACCGTTTGTCCGTTGTGGCTACACGCACCATACATATAGGACGAAGTCTTGGTTCGCGCCAGGCATGACTTGCGATGACGGCAACTTGGCAGATTCCGTGGTCCTGCACAACTTTTATGTTGTTATGGCGAGTAGAGCAGCATCTGACACCAAAGGTGAAAAGGATTCCGGTTCGCCAATGGGAGGATACGTGTGTTTTATGCTTCCTTGAGGCTCTAATAAGCCCGGCATGAGTGATTGGCACCGTGCATCTAGGCAAAAGATTCTCCAGATAGCGGGTGACAGCATGCTTTGACATTGTCTTCCCAATGTCGCCTGCATTTGTCAGTCCTGACATTAACTGCCATCTGTCAACTGAAGTTGACTGATAATGTCAGAAGAGTGCAAACTTGACGCATCTGAGCAACTAAGCCTGTTGTCGTCATGGGCCACGGCCATCAGCCATCGGAAAGCCAGCACACCGGATAGAATCCAGAACATATCGCGGCCGGCAGTACGAGGCAGCAATCTCTTGAACTTATGAGCAAGTACGACCACATCTTGACTCAAACAAGCTCTCGGTTAAGGATGTTCTTAACTAGGCTTTCCGCTATCAGTTCTCGGCAATCCGACTACAAAAGCAGCTGCCAACTGGCTGCAAAGAGTGACCTGTAGGTTGACTAACACCCTCCGTCAGCGCCACAGCTCACCTCATCCGGTCGTACAGTCGAAGTCTATGCCAGATCCCCGGCATGACTTTGGGAGAGGGAAAAGGGATATTGCAATACCACGATTATTCTAGGAAGAATTTCGCCGGATACCTTCCGATTTATGTGCAAGATGTGATGGCGGCTCGGCTCCCACATACCGGATTGTTCGGAGCCGGGGCCCTATATTCTCCTCCGCTATGATCTACAAATAAACCGAACTCCAAATTGACCCCAGTGATGATTACTGCTTCCAAGGACGAACAAAGAATACTCGCATTCGTAAATCGTAGTTGATCTACACTCGACGGTCCGCGGCCCCCATTCACCCACATTCCGATTTTTCAGTGGAGAAAAGTTTGAACAGTCGTCAGCCTCTGCGAACGCTGTGGCACCGTACATACCTATTTTAGATTGACGATATGCTACAAGCTTGTGCGGGCTTGTAATGAAATAACTGTGATTCGTCATTACACTACCCGCTCCATGGGCGAGTACCCAGTTGATGTCGAAATGCCGACAAGTTGTTCATCCTCGGTGACGCGTTCAGGGGAACCAGGTCTTCGACGAAAGGTGTCGACATGGCATTTCCATCAAAGGTAATCAGTTTTCCGAAATATGGCAAAGATTGAGACGTGTATAAGATAAATCGAGTTCGGATGTTTCTCAGCGTCTCGTTCATCCAAACTATCTTTCGGTAGCAACCTTCTCTCCACACATCATGAAACTCTCAACCGTTGCAATTGGCGCGTTCGCCTCCTTGGCCCTTGCCCACAAGGAGGTAGCCCCCGGAGTCGTGAAACGCCACGCCGATCTCTCTAAGCGCTGTGCTTCTGGAGCCGCAAAGTTCAAGCAGAAGCGATTCGAGAAGCGGCAGGAGGAGGCTAGCCTGAACAAGCGATCCGGCAACAGCTCTTACACCATCGTCACCGAGGGCCCCTACTACGACACGCTCCAGAACGACACCTGCGTCCTCGCCCCCGATGTCACCGCTGGTCCGTACTACTGGCCCCGGTCAGAGACCTTGAGGCAGGACATGACCGAAGACCAAGTCGGCGTTCCTCTTATCCTCGACGTTGGTGTTCTTGATATGGCTACCTGCGAGCCCCTTCCCAACGCACTTGTTGCGTTCTGGCACTGTAACTCCACGGGCAGCTACTCCAGTTTCACTGGCCGCGACCCCAACACGGACTTCCGAGAGCTTCTCGAGTCTCTCAATGTCACCGACTTCGAGATTGGCACCACGGATCTGCACACTGATGATACCACATGGCTTCGTGGCATGTGGCCCTCAAACGATGAGGGTATCCTTGAGATGAAGACCATCTTCCCTGGTTTCTACATCCAAAGATCCATCCACATCCACGCTCAAGGTACGCCTGGTTTTTTTTTTTTTTTTTTGTGAAAGTAATACTTCGAAGCTGACAGATTCAACTAGTCTTCACCGATTGGGTCCTCCACAGCAACGGCACTGTCAAGACTGGCAACACCAACTCTATTGGCCAACTCTACTTCAACGAGTCCATCTCACAGGAGATCATGGCCTTGGAGCCCTACGTCAGCCACACCGAGATCAACCGTACGACTAACGACGTGGACTCTGTTTACTCTTCAGGCCTCGCAAATGGCTACAACCCCGTCATCGACATCGTCCCTCTTGATGGTAGCGACATCACCCAAGGCATGGTCGGCTACATCACCATCGGCATCGACACGGAGAACAGCCCTTCTTTGAGTGGTCCAGAGAGCGAGCAAGGTGGCGGAGGCGGTTCCCCCAGTGGAAGTGCCATGCCTAGTGGAACCGCGCCGGCATAAGGATGAAAGGACGATTACCGATGCTGCATATATTCGGAGTTCAGGGAGTATCAGTAGGAAATAGACAGTCACAACATAATGGATGGGAGTCAATATCATTAAGAACATTCAATGCCGCATTCCATTCAAAGATCAACGAGGTTTCCACTGTATTTCATGCTCCAAGGCGTCTTTGAGTAAAGACATTCCGCTTTTATCGTTCAAGACTACAAGTCCTTGTGTATCAGGCAGGTGGGCAAGTTCAAAAGGTTGGCGAATGCCTGCATGGGTTTTCTTTGCGTATTCTTGCCAACCTACCTGCCCGAATACACAACCGCCAACCTAGTCATACGAACACACACCGAATGAAGCCCATATAGGTCCCCTCAGCTCCATTTCTGTCACCAGCCAGCAGGCGCCCGTCTAGGTCGAAGGATCGGGTCAAACTGGCTGGTGGTGGAGTGGTTAGTGGTCAACAATCAATTGAACGCCTACCAGCCTACTCGACGACAGGCTTAGCGAGAGTACCCGAGTTTGGAGCCAGCATGAGTACCTGAAGTTTCCCAGTTTGAGCACCATGAGATGTAGCTCCCAGTTCATCACCAGGGCGGCGAAGTCTTTTGTAATTTTGATCCTGTGAAACTTTTGATAATGCCACTTCCAATTGGTTAAACCAGCATGAAACGCAACTTTTCGGTTGTTGCCACCCAATCGGCGCGGTGCATCAGGTGATAGCTTCCAATACGCCGGAACTTTGGCAGTTGCTCATCAGCCTCCACTCCGCTTGTATACAGAACAGTGTCGTTCTTCGGCGATTGCGGCACAGGCTCAAGAAATAGTCCCTCAAACCTCAAAACGCGGTCTGTATGGTTGACCAACGGAAGACAAATGACAATACCTCCTGTCGGTGTCTCTCCAGGCGAGTCCCAACCGTAAATTTGCGTCCAATCTGATTCAGAGTCTGAGATCGTCGTTTGGAGCATCGAAAATAGCGCTTTCCGATCTCTTGTACTAGTGAATGCCTGGAGTTGAATGGGCTCTTCATCTCTGCCCTTCAGCTGCGAGATCATGTGCTTCGCGTCGCCATCGTCGTTAGTCTCATTCCTATAGAACGCCACCTTGAGGACACCCTCTAGAATCAACCCGTCATTTTCCGCCTTTCCGATCCTATTCATGCCACCAAGGCCAGAAGTTATGAGACCAACAGCCATTACCAGCCCCGTTCCATGCGGATACCAGTTCCCGAATGTTACCTGCGTGTTCAGTGTCATCCACGACCACGATGGCGCCAAGTAATCAGTCGGCCGCGCGCGAACCTTCTCCTGAGCACTCCAAAGCAGAGCCCATGGCAAACTCTCGTCTATCCATACACCATAAGCTTGCTGGGTATCGCGCTTATCCTGCAACTGACCGGGCAAGCCCGAAAAAGCCACTTGCCTGTCGCTAGGGAACGTAAGCTTTGTCTTTGAATACATCTTCACTGTTTCCGACCACGCAGCCTCAAAGGGCTTGGTCCCCGCGCTCTCGAGCAGCATGTCTCGAAAACGTCTCCGGTCGCCGATAAATTGCCACCAGATTGTGGCCGGCTGCGACGGGACCCCTTCAGGAAATGATTCACAAAGCTCGCGCTGGCCGCATCCCCAAAGGATCTGCTGCCGACCAAAGTAGAGTGTTCGAGGAGAGAGCAGTCGCTCCTGAAAGACCCAAGCTCGCTTATGCAGCGGCGCCTCTGGAATGTCTGACTTCCATCTGGCATCTAGGTTTTCCCCGTGAAGAAGAAATGGCGGGGCCACAGAATCCGTCGAGAACGGCGATGGTATGACGCAGGGCAAGACAGTCCAAGGGTCTCTGTCCGAAAAACAGCCGCCTGATCCGTCCGCCGCATGGCTTGCGGATATGGTGCAAAGTGACAGGCTGTATACCTTGCCCATAGTAGGAGCCTCTCGTCTCCAGTCATCCTCGCTCTGTTGAATGATGCAAATGGAATCTATCCATAGATATCGAACCCCAAGTCTCCTAGCAATGATAAAAGCGTCGGCAAAGGTTTTGGAAAGCTCTGTGTGCGGTATGCCTATCATAAACTGCTTGATGTTGGTTTCAAGGAGGATGCACGGCTGCTTTAAGCCCCAGCAGTGACTCAGCGTCATCCATTGAACAGGGCGTTGCAGAGATTGTGAATGTACCAGCTTGGCTAGGTCGGAAGGGGACTCTCCCAAGTCAATCAGGCGAGTGGGGGCCCATCCGTCTTCGTTTTGCATTGAACAATCGTGTGATGTCAGGCAATCTGTGAGAAACTTCTGAGCTAAGTCGAATGCTTGCTCCGAGCCAGTATTGGTGTTTAGAGCCAGAATTGACTCTTCCCTTGGAATTGAAGCTGCAATTTCCGCTGTCATTCTGCATGAGCTTCTGGTATCATAGCAATTACTCGGAAGCGTCACAAACCTGTTGTTTCTTCGACCGAGAAAAATATGGTTTGCATCCTGTTGGCATTCTCTTCGTCTAATCTCCACAGACCCATGTGAATTTCGTAACCTTGCGTTCCGCTGGCGAAACCGTATCGAAGCTCGAGACTATCGTCCGGATCCACGTCATCCCAGTCTGGCCATGGAATATCGTGCTTTCCCCCAAAGTTCAAGCGCCGGAACCATATGAGACTGCAGATGCGACAGCCACCGCCCTTTCCTTGTTCCAGGCTCTCCTTTGTGTGCGGGAGCCGGTAGCCATCATTATTCGGAGAGTACAGACCGTATGAAGAGACTTCTCTGGCTTCAGTGAAAATAGTCAGACAACGGTCGCATAGATGAGACCAGCGACGGTGGTGAGACTGAGTCACCATAGCTACAAGGGTTGTCGATCAATGTTGGACTCTGAGCTGGATTGCTCGCAAGTGTAATTAGGTAGCTGAATGCACCTTAATTCCTTTTTGCTGCTACGTAGATTGTAAAAGAGGATCCCCAGATCAACTTAAAGCTTCCAATCACGTGACGTAAGCAGAGTTGGACTCCTCCGGATTGCTATTGTTCATTGGTGGTTACCTCTTACCCTAGTCCTGTACAACGGCTCGAAGGTTATTCACAATTTTACAAGCAGCCAGACAAGATAGTAGTTAGAATGGAAACGATGTGATGTCTCGCCAACTAGCCTTCTCAGATCATCACCTGTGTGTGAACTAACACTATTTCAGCGAGTATACGGACTCATCCAATTAATCATGGTAGCTCCCGTCCCTCAAAGTTTCAGAAGCCCAATACAAGACTAAGAACATCTTTACAGAAGTCGTAAAAGATTACTGCTCCTATCAACATCAAAACGTCCTACGACCTATTGAAAACGCCTGATTAGCCAACGCATCAGCCTCAGTGTTTTCCTCTCTTGGGATAGCCCAAAATAAGATGTCCCTCCCACCATCATTTCCATACGTCATCTCATCCAACTGCTCATGCAACTCTCTCAACACCTCAAAATGCGCAACCCTCTTCCCCCTCACATTCAACCCATCATTCTCAATCCACTCCCCAATCCAAAGCGCCATAGCACTCGCAAGATACTCTGAGTCCGTCGCAATCGTAATCCGATTCAAGGAATAATCCCTCCCCGTAATCTCACAAATAATCCTCACAGCCTGCACCAGCGCCTCAATCTCAGCCCTTGAGCTCGTCTGCGGGAGGTCACTCGCCAACAACCCGCACGCGTTATATCGCGACCCGGGACCAAAGTAGACGCCCCACGAGGCTTGTGCATCGGGGAGCCCGTTGTTGCGGCAGGCGCCGTCAATGTAGACGACCATGCTGCCGCGTTCGGGGACGGGACGTTTGGTGGCCCAGGAGTACATTTGCATTCCGAGGAGCTGGGTTGAGGGGTTGTAGATGACGAGGTCTGATTTGGGGACCATTCTGTGGGTGTCGCTTGCGCGGTGTTCGAAGAGGCGGCTTCCCATGCCGTCGTCATCGTCGTAGCCCATCATCGTTGTGGTGGTGTTGGGTCGTTTCACGACAGCTGTTGGGAACCAGATAGGAGACGAGTGTCTTCAGTCACACGAGAGGATATCCTCAGTACTACGGATGTTGCTGGGTAGATAGGTCAAAATGTTTTCTAGTAGCCTGATCAGCAAGCTACTGTCTCGTAGACAGACAGTAATCTCATGGGTGAGCTTACAAAGGTATGAGATGTAATGAAAAAAGCCGTTGCTATTATCAACGTCTAAGTCGGTCGGGGTAGGTTGCCTGTTGATCACATGGAATCTGGTTGTGAGCTCAACAGAGGTTGACAGAAGCATGGCCAAAAGAGGGGGAGGGGCAAAAGCTAAACCAATAAACTTGACCTAAAGACGGATAAAAGTGGCCCCATGCATATGAACTTCTGATGCCTCTTGGTTCTGATACCTAATGTTCACCATCCACTTTATCTTCCTATATCTTGAAATCACGTCTGAGACGTCAATTTCAGACCAGAATTAAGGCAGAGAATTGATGATGCTAGGCACTTCATGACCATACGGGTGAAAATGGCAACCCATGAGTTCTCACACGATTCACTTCTCAGCTTTCGACGTTGGGCAGCGTATTTCCATTCTCGAAGTCCAAGAGACATGAGCCATACTCAAGCCTCTGACCTTATGTCTCTTACAAAGCTCATCTAAGCACCCAATATCTGACTCCATCAACTTGAAAGTCTACCACAACTACCTTTTTGCTGCGAATTAACCCCTCACCACTAGACAAACATCGTCACAACAGCCAGCAAAATGACAAGAAGCCCAGGCAACAACATTGGCATCATCAACTCTTCAATCGCAAGCTCCGTGCTCGGCGAGATGAGACTCAGTGGGAAACTAGGCGGGAGCGCCCGTCGCCTTTTCTCAACAGTCTCCATGAGATGCCTCGGAATGTTCGTAATATCGATTGTCAAGCGATGCGTGCTCTTGCTTCCATCATGCTTTACGTACAGTGTCGCCAGATCAGGATCGTACGACCACTCTCCATCGCTGACCTTGATGTCGATGTTGCGTTGTGCGTAGTGGTACTCTGGCACAAATATCTCCGTCGTCCGGGACTTTTCGGGTTGACTTTTGCTGTTCTTGGCGTCACTCTCGGCCTCTGAAGTCCACTCGAACTCGTAGTGGAGGGTCCGCGGGTCCCAATCCGAGCGAACGTGGCGGCCTGCAATCTTGACGGCGTAAGGACGAATAATCACGTTCAATACCCTCCCACCGCGGTACAGCTCATCATCTTCGTGCGCCTCGTTCACATAATCTGGCAAAATGTGGCCGGGCTTCGCTTCAGTGTCGCCGTTAACGACAGAAAAATCCTCCTTGTTCCACCCATCGCCGTACTCCACCCGATTATCAGGGTTATAATTCCACAGCGTGAACGCAAGGTTGTTGTCCTCCATGGCGGAGATGAGCGCGTGCATTAGCTCCCGCAGCTTATCGTAGTTGCCTGTTTTGAACGCCTCACAACCGTTGATGTCGTAGGGTATGCCGACCTCGCCGATGAGGGCGGGCACGTGGGTTCCCAACGACTTTTGCCCGTATTTGAGGATGTTGGCGAGCTGCGTGCGGTAGTTTTGGCGAAGCGCCTTGGCGCCGATGTAGAGGGCTTTTAAGATGAACATGCCCCTAGAGAGCCCTTGTACGTTCACGCTCATCCAGGAGTGATGCTTGCTGAATAATACGTTGAGGTCGTAGAAATGAGGGGCAAAAACGAGATTCTGTGGTCTCGGTGTGTCGATGATTGTCTTGGTCGCATATGTTTGCTTCTGTCCAGCTTCGTCCACCTTGCCGTCCTGGCCAACCCAAGGGGGCACAAACTCGTTTGGTATCGGCTCAAAGAAGCAGAATTGCCGGGACGATTTCCGTGAGACACGTTCCGAGAAGCGCTTGAGGAAGGGACCGTAAAAGTCGCGGTACCACTCCAGCGGCTTCCCTTCACGACCTGGCCGATGGTCCACCTCGAAGTAGTCTTGCTGCAAGACCTTTGGGCCCTTTTTCGTCTCATCCCATTCCCAAACACCATGAGCGCGCCATACACACTCGCCGAGACCATAGTTTTGTGGTTTCGATGCATTTGGCTTAGCAGCCAACCAGGCAGATCTTCCCTTCGGATCGACGACGGTTTTGTGCGAAATGCGGGTAGGGAACGGCCAGGACTTGACGTAGTAATTGACTTCTTGAGCGTAGCCACTGGCAAGTGCGAGTGCTTGTGTCAGAGAAGGGTAATATCCGATATGTAAGTCGGTATCGTAGTTCCAACCGTCGAATCCATGAAGATTGACAAGACCTCGATGCGGCTCATTCAAGGGCTCAAAGCCAACGCATGCCTCAAGGCTAGCCACTTCATCCGCGAGCCGCCCAAAGGCTTCGATAAAGGCACTCTGGAGAAACTCCTGAGCCGAAACAGTCTCATCCCTGCCATCTTTCGACCGCTTGCATTGCAGCTTCGGCGCCAGAGCATCGCCCGCCCAAAACAACGTCGCCATCGTCGACGCCGCAATTTTCTGGTACCCAGACGGCCACACAAACGGTCCGCTCGGTTCCTTCTCATTCACAGGCGCAGTAGCTCTCCTCAGTTCATCCTGCCCATGCACATATGCGGCACCGGTCTCAGTGAATGCCTCGACATCGAGCCCAGCAACTTCAAACGTCCAACCGGGTGCACCGCTGCCGCCGCTGAATCGACTCCACACATCCTGGTGGGCGCAAATGAAGCACTTGACGCCGTACTTCGGCATGATTTCGATGAGTTGGCGTAGGTAGTCGATATACTCCAAATCCACATCCGTTTCCGGGTCCGGTCCAGAGTGGCCAATCGACTCCCACGTTACCAGCAGACGGATAAGCGGCAAGCCCCAAGCCTGCAATCGTCTGAAGTGCAACGGCGCATCTTCAAGGGGGAATGGCCGGCCGATGAATGTCACTGCGCGGTGCTCGAAGAAGCCGTCGGTAAGATGAGACAAGCCGTTCGGCGTCGTGGGGAGCTTGCTGGCCCCGGAGATGTTGAGGCCATGCAGCGTGAGGGTGCGACCGTAGTTGTCGACAAAGTAGCCATCTTTAAGGCCAATTGGACCTCCTAGTGCCGCGTCCGAGAGGTCCTGTGCAGCATATTTGGCCGCCATGGTGAAGGGGCGGTGAAATGGTCGTTGGTTATCAAAGTGTAAGGTGAGCTTTTTAGCTTGATTGGCCGGGGATGTGCTCCGGACGTTACGCGTACCGACAGGTCGTCATGACAGATAGTCTGCTTAGTCAGCGGGTGCTCCTCAGAGGCCAAGTGAGCTGTTGTCACCAACATGACATATTGACAACTCATCAACAGGGTCAATACAGATCTTGAAATACCTTGAAGATACTGATACAAGATTTGAAAGGGATTGAGAAAGCTGAACCAATTTCAGGTTTGGGTTGAGAGAGATCACCATCAATGAACACCATACCGGAAAAGTCGGGTCCCGGAGGTGGATGCTGTGCCAAGGCTTGTGCCCCGTCAAATGCTCAAGGTCCTTGAGCTATTTTCAGAGCCTAACCGCCGTTCACCAAAGCTCGACATATCAGTGTTTAATCGTCTCGGTAGGCTTGAACAGCATCACCGATTTTACAGCAACGTCACAACGAGATATTGAACTGGCAGTGTTCTTGTTTGTTTTCATTATTCATAGAGTCGTCCATCTATGGCCGTCTACGGCTTTTTCTACAAGGCCCGCATGGTATCATAAACTAGGAACGCGGTAGTTTTTTCTTTCCTTTATCAACAGCACACAAACTTAAAGCTTGCGAACGACCTTGTTGGAGGCCTCCTTCTCCTCCTTTTCGTCCCAGATGTTAATGTTCCAGCGGGGCTTGTAGGTGAAGGGAATGTTGTAGCGGCGGGGCTCCTTGCCGATCTCGTTGATGGCGGCGACGTCCTCGTCCGAGATCTTGACCTCCTGGAAGTTGGACTGGATGCGGCTGGGGGTGACGGACTTGGGGATGACGGAGTGGCCGCCGTTCTGGGACCAGGCGAGGACGACCTGGGCAGGGGTGGCGTTGAGCTTGGTGGCGATCTTCTTGACGACGTCGTTCTCGATCAAGAGGGGGAGACCGAAGCCGTTGTTGCCAAAGGCCTGTGCTTGTTAGTCATTGCGTCATCGAGAAAAAGAAGAGGGTAGTGTTTGGGGTGGACATACAGAGTAGGCGGTGATGTGAATGTTCTTTTCCTTGGCGTACTTGATCAGGGTGTCGTTCTGCTGGAGGAGGGGGTGGCGCTCGATCTGGTTGACGGCGGGGGTGACACCGGTGGCATCGATGACGGTCTGAAGGTCCTCGACGGTGAAGTTGGAAACACCGATGTTCTTGACCTTGGACTTGGGGAGGTCGATCAGGGCCTTCCAGGTGTCGACCAAGGAGACGCTCTGGTCGAGGTCAACCTCACCCTCGGCGGCGAGGGGGAAGAGCTTGTCGCCATCCTTCTTGAAGGCAACGGGCCAGTGGATGAGGTAGAGCTGTGAGTGAGGGGTTAGCCGGGTATTGTTCGCCCGTCGATGCCCACCCAACCTAGTACGCAAGGAGGGGTATTGGAGGAAGACATACGTCAAGGTAGTCGAGCTCAAGCTCCTTAAGAGTCTCGTCGAGAGCGGCCTCGACGTTCTCGGGCTTGTGGTTGTTGTTCCACAGCTTGGAGGTGATCCAGATGTCCTCACGCTTGAGGCCGGGGATCTCGGCGAGGGCCTTCTTGATACCCTGGGCGACCTCGGGCTGGTTCTGGTAGATCTTGGCGAGATCGAGGTGGCGGTAGCCGGCCTTGAGGGCCTCGTAGACACCGACGGAGACTTCGCCGGGGGCGGACTGCCAAGTGCCGTATCCCAGAGTGCTATAATGGCCAAAGAGTCAATTCACTTTGCGTGTTTTCTTTCGTTTTGTAGATTGGGAGGGGGAGAAAAGGGGCAGAACGCGAGCGCGAGAGCGGGGTATCGCGATCGGCAGGGGAATGGATGGAGGGGTAATTATTTAGACGTACGGGATCTCGGCGCCGGTGTTGAGCTTAGCCTTGCTTCCGAAAGACATTTTTGCTGGATTTGTATGAGGATTGATTCAGAAGAGAAGAAGAGGGAGAGTATAAGTTATCGTAAGAATCACCAACAGAAGGAAGAATGGTTGGGGAGAGCTTCGAGGTGGCCTCTTTTTAAACAAGTGAGGGGTTCCAACACGCAATTGCATCATCGTTTGTCAGGATGAGCTGCGCACCCTGATGGGATGGGGTACCTCGTACTTTCTCTCCGTGACGCCCACCGTCGGACCCGCTTAACGGCCCTCGAGTACCAATTGTCGATGGAGGATGGTAGAGATGGAGGAGGAGACGCGGGTTGCCCCAGGACACGGTCGTGACGCTGCCACCGTCGCCAACTGTTAGGATTGCCTGAGTGGGTTGGCCGTGGCGGGGTTGCGGTCGTAGGTGTGGACCGTGGGCGATGGTGAGACTGGGGGACCCCGCGCTTCCACCTAAATCTCCCGTCTTCTGTCTCTCTCGGCTGCGGAAGCCCGAAGTCGGCCATCACGGAGGGGCTCTTCTTATGGCGTACGGATAGGCTCGCTTGGAACTGAGACGTGAGTCCGTTTGGGCCCGTCTAGGACCGTCTGGGCCCGGCACCGGGTAAGCACTACACGCTGACCCGTCCCGGCACATAGTAACGTCTTCACACGTCTCTTAGAGTATCTTAGCTTGAGGCCTTCCGGTTCATATGAGATATCCTCCATGAGATTTATGGCATCTTGGACACTGAGGCTTGCGTTGTACCATCTCACTCTATGATCTCACTCTATGATCTCACTCTATGAGATGAAATCGAATCCGTCATCATGACTTTGGTCACGTCTTATCTCTCACTCATGTCGTCTTGATCATGTCAAGCATCGACAGAATGTCGTGCAGTGACGGGACAGACGGCGCGGATGACGATCAGTGTAGCTCATGGAAATGCCGCAATTGCCACTAGACTTTCTCTCGGCACATCTTTACACCAAGCCCCGAAAGCGTGTTCCACTCAAACGTTCTTCATGTTCCACACAACCTTAATCCGATGCGATCAAATGAGATTTCGCCCTTTGAGGTATGGCAAACTGAGAATGCGCAGTGCATTGCGCGACTAGTGTACAGAATCAGGTCCCACAAAATCAACTGGTCACTCTCCTTGTTTGTGTAACAAACGTCAGGTATTTATGCCTATTCTTGACTGAACACCAAGCTTCTGGAGAATCGCTGATGCGCCTAGGAGATGTCATTAATGAGAGGTCAATTGACAACGAACATGGCTAGAGTAAAGAGAACTAGCAGCGGCCGCTCTTGACGTGAATCCTGGCAGGTAAGCTCTTCGCTAAAGGCGCTGTGACTTGAACATTGGGATTGGGCTGCTGGATCTCACTTCTGAGTGCCTCAAGTTGAGTCTGAGGCTTTATCACAGGCCATGAGGAGTGAGAAGATCGGAATTGTGTTTGACAGAGGACGCAGCATCTGAGGCATTGAGATCAAGCGACCAGGTAATAGGAGAAAGATAAGTGTATTCATGAAAGTCGGCGATGAACATCACTACCTCGGATCTAGCAATGCTTCTCCTGCCTCAACCCCCACGTCAATCATATCCATGCAAGCTGTCATCGACGTCGGAAAAAGAATCTCACATCCAAAGCCAAGTTCCCGACCGGGTAAGATGGACACAGGCGCCGGTTCCTGCATCCTTCACAAGCCAATCACCCAATCATCCTCCCAGTGAGACATCTCACGCTGCTCGCTTACGCTCGAGAAGCGCGTTCAGTAGCGCCGCCCGAGTCCCGAGGGGATAATCAGGGGGGAGCTCTCAAGGGCCTGACAGGATGCGGCCCGCCACGGTCCACTGTGGAGAACCATAAAATTAGAATGCCTCAAGCGACCGTGGCTGCCGACTGGTGCCTTCAGACGCGAAAGGTGTTCACAGCTTACTTCGCATCTTCTCAGTCATAGTTATGAACGACAAAGCTCAGCATATCCGTCAAAAGATCAAATGAACACGAGGTTTGAATACCTTGGACATGGCGCGGTAGCCACTCCTGGGCTTGGTCGTTCATGGTAGGTCGTAACGCTGAGTTATTCCGGAAACTTTGTAAATGCCGAAATGCCGTGATATCGAATTATGGGTCCATGTTCGGCGCCGAAACTATCAATGATCTCCTTTCATTTAGCCTATCTCTTCACACTATGGGAACCATTACTTGGCTTTTTTTCTTTCATCCTATGCGTCTCGCCGAAAAGCCGACAAGAATACGGCCCCGGTAGCTAGACGTTCCCCGGAGCGGAATTGCATACCGGCTTACATGGCGACCGCCGCCGATTTTGGAGTAGGTGTGGCGAGACTCAGCAAAGCGTGCACTGAGTGTCACTCGCGCAAGGTCAAGTGCGATGCGCCCATTGTCGGGATACCCTGCGGCCGATGTGTCAGCAAGGGATGCTCCGAGAGTTGCAAGTTGGTCTCTCGCCAGATACGAAAGAGGTAGGCGAAAGCATGGGAAACCTCGGACAACATTCTCAGTCCTCTGACGATGGCGCCAAAGGAAGAAAAGAACAGACGATTTGATCCAAGACTGTCACGGCACCCAGAATGTGAGAACGCCATGTTTCTTCCCATCGGTCCATCCGGGCAGCTCAAGTTCGGCTCATGGCATATAAAGCTGTAGAGATATAGCAGTGATGACTGACTGGAGCAGAACACTGAGTCTACGCCCAGAGAATCCTCGTCAAACCATGCTGTAGTGGACTCATCAGCCCCTTCCAATCCAATCGTGCTGCCGTCTTCCATCCGGCGCACCCACGGTTCCCATGGTCTTGGTGAATTTGGGAAGACGAGCTCGATAGGTTCAGGCCGCACGCCCGAAGATATCCGAGACGTCTATGCACTCCCGCAGGCCCAAGCAGAATATAACGGAAGGAGTCATTATCTCAGTATATTGAAGACGGCGATGAATGGCAGTGAGACGAGTGAAAGTCCCGGGCTCGGGTCTACTGCCAACAGCTCCACCGATAACACTCCACACTACCCAGAAAACACACAGGTCGGCATGTCTGGTTTGGATCCGGTGGATCTGGAGTTTCTTGTAAAGAAGGGCGCATTTGTGTTGCCGCACCGGGATGCCTTGTAAGCCGTCCATTCAAAAGATAACTCCCATGATGAACCTAAAAAAGCTGACAAGAAGATGTGAGAATGGTGTTTCTGACTGCCTATTTTCGCTTTGTTCATCCATATTCGCCAGTATTGGATCCAAACCACTTCCTGAAATGTTACGAGTCAGGATCCTATTCGCCGTTCCTCATACAGACAGTCCTAACAAGTGCTACTCTCTACGTGCCGACTGAGCTCCTCACCTCGTGTGGATACTCAAACGTCACAGAGGCGCAGACGGCATTTTTCAACAAGGCATTGCTGCTACACGATTTTCAATGCGAGAAGAGTCAACTATGCCTGCTTCAGGGATCCCTAATCCTGGGCACAACTGCCTTCTTCTACCCCATCGACCGAGATGTTCAGTACTGGTTCTTCAATGCCGTCCGGCTTGCCACGAAATTGGAACTCCAGAAGCTGTGAGCACACCTCAAATTCCATAATCAACCCGGAGTTCAATCTTCTCAACATTATAATTCGCAGTGATCAACTACGGATTGCGGACACTCAGCTTCGCGGGCTATATAGGAGAATTTGGTGGGTGATCTACGTGAGTTCATCACCTGGGCCCAGGAGATTGGAGCCACTTGACTCACGTGCCATTTGAATTGACCCATCGTTCTAGTGTCGAGATGTGCTACTGTCATTCCTTGGCATGCAAAGTATGCCTCTGGTCAGCGACAAGAAGAAGCTGCCAGCGTTGCCAACGGCCGAAGATTGGGAGGTTGAGAGTGACAACATAAACACCCTATTCCCTTCCACGGTAACTCGTGAACAAGAGCTTCACTTCATTGATTACTGCAAATTGTCTTTGCTGGGTAGGTTGCAATTGGTCAACATATGGTACAGCTCTTGACACTTACCAAATGGTGACAGGAAGGAAATGGCTTGTTGGAATATCCGACCCAGATCAGGTCAACGCTGAAACCATGGCTCACGAGTTTCATAATTGGAGAAGTCAGCTTCGAGGAGCAATCTACGCAGACCATCACCTCACCGATGGCCCCTACCTCACGGCCCTAATCGCAGCCAGCTACAGGTTCGAGTGTATCTTGTACAGGACTCTCAAGCTTCATTGGAAGTCTATTGGTGTTTCCCAGTACGACTGGGTACGAGGTCGACTTCGATGCTCTATGTTTGAGCTTGACACGCTGTTCGGCAGAGCGCTTGCAAATGGCGAGCTTAGGAGCCTGCCCATGTCGTTGTGCGTCTCCCCAACAGAGAGTCCCAAAATCGAGAATGAACGACTAACGATTGAGCCTGGAAGCAATTCCAATATACCAATAGCGCTGGCCCTCCACATAGAGACCGCTTTGGATGCTGACGAGTCAAACGCAACCAAGTCCATGTCGCTCATCTATATTCGTCAAGGATTGCTCATTCTCGAGCAGCTTCAGGACTCGCCAGTTATGAAGAGGGTATTGTCCATCTTTGAGTGGGCATTAATTCGATTGGATCTAATCCCCGAGGTTTCTCAGGACAAGCAACTCAGTGGCGGTGTTCGTGCTGGCAGTGACCAGGACGGGTCTGTGGACCAGGTGGGAACCTCGACGGGTCAAGAATTTGGGGAAATGCTCGATCAGATGGAGCCGTGGTTTGGTGATTTCCTCGGGCTTGACTTCCTCGATAACTTGAGGTCGGGCGGCGATAGAGGATAAACTTCGAATGTTATTGAACATAGTAGTGATTGAAATGGAATTACAATCACTGTGGCTTCGCAAAGGTAGTCTCGACATAAAGTCTACCCACCCCCCACCCCCCCCAGATTTTGATGCTGATAGTAGGGCAGTCCTTTTGCTCCACACATGTTTAAAAATCAGGTATGTCGGTGAGTCTGCTGGCTTGCGGCTTTCGATGCCTCCAGCCAAAAGGGCGACAGTTCACCGTATGTTCACCACGCAGGTTTCGAGGACCCAGTCATGAAGTGAGATGCATTCAAGTTGTGGTCATCATGATCGCGGGATCAAGTGGTACGAGGGTTCTATGTCACGGTCTAGATCTATTCCGGCGTCTAGGATATTCAAATCTAGCTACATAAGTCTTCAAACAAGAGGGAGTGTCTTGGTGCTACCAGACCAGAAACCCTTGAAGAAAAGTCCCACCTCCTGCACATTTTCGATCGGGTATATGCCAGCCAAGATGCCGTCTGGGCGCAGAATAACAAGCCCGCCGCTTTTGGCTGAGATTCCAAAGGTATTGTGTCCCTGTCCGTCGACATCACAGAGCACCAAACTAGAAGGAAGCCCATCATACACATCCCACGTGTTGGTAATAGTACCAGTGACAATCGTCGTGAAGCTAACCATCTGGTCGTATTTATTGGCCGCGTTGAGAGACTCGAGAGTCTCACGCAGCGCAGCCACCTTTGCTGTCTGTTGACCAGGGCGACCAGCAAAGATGAGCATGCTCCACTGCCCAGTGTTCTTATGGATAATGCTCTGCAGGCGGATGGGGACAGACGGGCCGGGTGCTCTGAGAAGGATGTCAGGGCAGCGATGTCCGACGGCCAAACTACCAGTGGTAGCCTTGTCGACCAGGACCGAGGGCCCATAGCTGACGCCAAGACCAATGTTGAAGCTGGCGTTGGACGTCAATATGTCGCCCAGCACCTTGCTCGGCTCAGGCTTGCCGCTACATCCGTTCCACGTCTCGGGCACGTCGCCAGACAATACAGCCGCTAGGGTCTTGTCGATATCAATGACCTTTTGCGCGACGGCACGGCGCTCCTCGGAGTACGTGTCGAGCACTCCCATCTGATACCACCCTCTGAGAACTCCAGCCAGCTTCCATGAGAGGTTAATGGCGTCGTGGATTCCGGTGTTCATGCCCTGGCCGAAGCCGGAGGAGTGTGTGTGAGCAGCGTCGCCGGCAAGGAACACAAAGTCATCCTTTCGCATGGTCGCGGCTACCTTTTGCTTGATCCTGTTTTTGTCGTCAGAGAGGTAACTTTCGCAGTCTTAAAGAGTTATACTTGCGTGTAAATAGTCCACCAGTCGATTCGCTCGAACTCAAGGTTGAACGGTTGGACGGACTTGATTACCTCCTCCATGGCCTGTTCTTTGCTGAGACCTTGGGGATACTTGGCCTTGAGCGTCGGTGTGAAGACGTATCCCAGGCGGCACGCATCCTTATCAAGCCGAGCTAGGAAGGCGCTGCCGTACTCGGCGCTGTTGATTGTCACAAAGCCAAGGTCGGTCTCAGGAATGTCGGTCTTGACACGGCCATCAAAACGAACCCATTCGTATGCCGTCTCGTCACCAATCATTTCAATCTTGGCAAGTTGTCGGACTTGAGACGTGACTCCGTCGGCGCCGATCAGGTATTTGCTTTAGAGGATTAGCTAAGTTCCTTATCATTGAGGCATGAATGTGAATGGGCTATACCATCTGATTGAGCGTGTTCCGTGCTGAGGATGTTGAAGAACTGCTGTGAGATTATAGCCGTCTTGGGGTTTGTCGTTAATTTCGTAGTCGACAAGCTCCCACTGATATTGGACCTCGTTTCCTGAAACTGCTCTGTACTTGGCAGCAAAGATGGCCTGAGAAGACTTTTGACGGATGTTGATGATATAGTCGTGGAAAGTTTCGGTCATGGCAGTGAACATTGACTGCTGACCCACTGCCGACACTCTTTTACCGCCCTGGAAGGTGGCGATTCCCCGTACAATGTTGCCCTGTTGAACTATTTCCTCGGCGACGCCGACCTGTTCGAAGAGCTCGAGAGTACGGGGAAAGAGAGTAATGGCTCGGCCAAAGGACTCCTGGACCTCCAACTCTCGTCTTTCTTTGGTTCAACGTCAGATCCACCCAACATCAAAGTAACCTCTGCCAACTTACCAATGATGATTGTAGGGATGCCTTGCTGGGCCAGACCGAGGGCAGTCACCAGGCCGACCGGGCCAGCGCCGACAATGAGAACATCAGTTGGCTCGAAATGCATGGCCAATCAAGGTAGTCAGATGAGTTGTGGGATATTTTCAGATGGTTGATGGTAGATAGAAAGGAACCAGAAGGAGTCGGTGGTCCTGATGACAGTCTTATATGTGACCGGGAAGATTTCGGTCTTCGAGTGCACGGGATGAACTAAATCACCGTCTACAATTCACGTTGTATCGTTGCGTCTTTGCCCGGAATTCGGGGTCAAAGTGATAGGCCGAAAGTACCCTAGGCAATACATATCTTTTGCTTGATATACAGGAGGCTCTCCATATCCCGCAGCCGCCTTACTCGGCGTCCAGACTCCGTAGAAAGATGAAGGTGACTAAATTCCGGCGCCGAAAGAAAATGTGGGTCTTGTTCGGCACCGAACGATGAGAATCAATCTTTAATTGCCTGCCGCGTCTTGTCCGTCCCATTAAACTGGCCATCATTCTGCCTCAGTAAGTAAACTCTCGACAGGGATGAAGCAAGGTTCGCCAGACACAAACGACCCCAAAATTCAATGGGTCGCTTTCACAATTAGGGGGACTGGAATACGCGGGAAATGGGGCACGTGTGTTTTGACTTTCAGCTCCATGTCTCAACCGTCTCGAAACGTCGCTCCAAGTTCCATGGAACGCCACAAATCTAACCAAGAAAGCCGCCGCCCGTTGGCTTGGCTTGGCCCAGGCTTGCTCGCCAAAAGTCAAAGTTGGTTGTGAACACCTAACCGCCTTTTCTCTTAGCCTTGCACCGCCAGCCCTTACCTCACCTCGACTCCAACTGGTGAGATTTTGCTATGAGATTCTCACTAAGGGGCTTGCGACAGCGACACCAGTAGACGGTTCCCTCCTTACAGACCACAGCTTTTCTTGTCGCATCTTGCTTGGTCACAGTTCCTGTTACTTTCTCGTATTCGATAGACGGCAGACACTCTCATTCCACTGCCGTCGCCGAACCGTTTCCATGACTGGAACCTAGCCGTGTCACACAGTCTCCCTCCCTTGCTTGGCTTCAACCATCGAGAAGGCCTCATCACGCCCCAGGGCCATCACGCCGCCTCTCATTCACGCGTCTCTTTATTCACATATACTTACACAGACATATATAGACATTTGTCATGGGGAGGACATCATACCGCTGGACGCGGGTGCGCTCCATCGTCCTCACCCTCATCACAATAACATGTGTCATCTACATCCTCGACACAACATGGCTACGCCCGCGCACAGAAACAGCTATGCTGGAACGCTTCATGAACACAGAAAGCCTCGTTCGGCAACCGGCGACACCAAAGTCTAGCTTCGACTGGTCCGCCGTCGACCTAAAGTACCCGCCTCAAGACCCGCTCACCCGCGTCCCGAACGGCGGCCGCGGCTCCCTGCCCCGTGTGCAACACCGATTCGCCTCCGAGTCCCTCTCCGCTTCCCGGCGCCGGGAAGCCCGCCGGCAAGAAGTCCGGCGCCTCTTCCAAAAGAACTGGGCGAATTACAGAGAGTATGCCTGGATGAAGGATGCTCTCAACCCAATCTCGGCCACCGCAAAGGACCAGTTCTCCGGCTGGGCCGCCACCCTCGTCGACTCCCTCGACGTCCTGTGGATCATGGGCCTCAAGCCGGAGTTCGAAGAGGCTGTCGCGGCCGTCGCAAAGATTGACTTTAGCATCTCCACGTCGGACCGCGTAAACACCTTTGAGACAAACATCCGCTACCTCGGCGGTCTCATGGCCGCCTACGACCTCAGCGGGCGCCGCGTCCTCCTCGACAAGGCTACCGAGCTCGGTGATCTGCTGTATGGCGCCTTCAACACAGAGCACCGCATGCCGGTAGACTTTATCAACTTCAACGACGCAAAGTCAGGCAAGGGCCTCATCGTCGAGGGCTCCGTCGTCTCCGCGTCACCGGGCACCTTATCCCTCGAGATGACGCGCCTGTCCCAACTCACCGGCAATCCAAAGTACTACGACGCCGCCGCCAAAGTCATGGACCTCTTCCACGACGGCCAGCAAAAGACTAAACTCCCTGGCATGTGGCCCATGTTCGTCCACATGGCCGACCGTGACGTCGTCACGGGCTCAACCTTTACTATCGGCGGCTGCGCCGACTCGCTCTACGAATACCTCCCCAAGATGATCGCCCTCCTCAACGGTGCGGAACCAAAATACCGCACCATGACGGAGAACTTCCTCAAAGCAGCCAATGAGTCCCTCTTCTTCCGACCCATGCTTCCCGGCGGCGAAAACGTCCTCATCTCGGGCAACGTCGACGTCGACGCAGGCGGAAACCGCTCCCTCGACCCGGAAAGCGAGCATCTGTCCTGCTTCATCGGCGGCATTTACGCCCTTGCCGGTCGCGTGCTGGGCAAAGAAGAGTGGGTCACCGTCGGCGCGCGGCTGACGCTGGGGTGCTACTACGCCTACCAGGCCATGCCGACGGGCATGATGCCGGAGCGGTACAATATGGTCAAGTGCGACCGTCGTGACGCGTGCGGGTGGGACGAAGACAAGTGGGACGCGGCGAAGAAGTTGAAGACGGAGTATAAGGAGCACTTGCCCAAGGGCTTCACTACGGCCAAGGACCCGCGTTATATCCTCCGGCCCGAGGCGATTGAGAGTGTCTTTGTGCTCTACCGTATCACGGGCGACGAGGGATTCCAAGAGGCGGCCTGGGAGATGTGGAAGGCTGTGAGTAACGGGACGCTCGTCGAGCACGGCAATGCTGCGGTGTTGGATGTTACGCAGAAGCAGGATCCGCTGCCCAAGGAAGATTATATGGAGGTGAGTTTTCTCGTTGTGTTCCTTTTGCTTATCTGCTGCTCTTTCCTCATCTTTGCATTCTCCTGCCATGTCAGCATTCCTTTTTGGCAGGGATGAGTTTTCCGTTCTAAATCGGGAGATTGCGAAGGGGAGAGAACAGAGAGAGAAAAATTCCGCCTGACTGACACTGCATGACCACCCATTTAGAGTTTCTGGCTGGCGGAGACACTGAAATATTTCTATCTTGTCTTCTCACCGCCCGATCTCATCAGCCTCGACGACTATGTGCTCAACACAGAAGCGCATCCCTTCCGGAGGCACCTTTGAATTGGGGCAAGGGATATGGTTAGAGTTAAGGAAAAGGTGGCATCGTTCACTCACCCCGGATTTCGTATCCCGAACGCTTGGGTTTGGATGAAAAGGAGGTGCGCGGACAGCTCCGCTGATCTGTGCTCTCTTCTATTCCATCGGGCGAGTCTGATACATGACTTGCTAAAAGCGGCACTGGACGTGCGATGGGTTTACATGTTGCCGGACTCGTGTATCTTTACAGAGTATGAGCGAATAGATTCGCCGAGTAATGACATTTTGAGCTCTGATACCTAGCTCCATTTTGGATAATGATCGTGAGCAGAAGATCGGCCTATGAGTCTGGCGTCTTTACGATGTCACGAGTCAACCGCTACTAATCCATGGTGAAGCGTCATAACTCATCGGTGATGATAACTGATCGCTATTCAACCGTGTTGAGCCGCCACCCTGACAGTAGACTTCATTCTCTAGATGGCTCATCGCCCTTGGCTACTGTCATGAAAGATGCTGTGAAGCAGCGGCTCTCTTGGAATTCCTGCGCCGTACGTCACCCGAAGCAGCCGCAGTAAATCGTGACGAACCAACTCATCACGGGTGTATTTTGCCACTCTTGGCAGCCATGCCACAATCATCGGGTCTGTTTACCCAGATCTAGACGTCCGTCGAGGAGCCAACGTAGCAAGGGTGACCATGAGTCGAAAACATGTCTTGGCGGTAGATACTAGGAGATCGCAGGAAAGATGAGCACTCTGGGTGAGACAGGCCGGTAGTATGTGGGCTTGGACCGAGATGACTGGGGGTAGTGCACATTGGGCGGTGTAATGGTACAGACGTTATTAATTACTATGGTCTTGGAATTTCGGCCTGCGGGTGATCTCTGGAAGCTTGTTTTGTAATCGAGTCCTGGGCGGCTCGTCGGCTGAAAAAGGAGATCTCTGGGCGTACTTCATCGTAGACTACTTTGTAGCCGTACTCTACTTCCTCGCAAGAGTCTGTAGAATAGAGGGTTGTCTCCGAGATTGAGTAGAGTCTAGGAGCTCGGTTTCACCATCTGCCCAAAGGCTCGTGAAGACTAATCATCAAATGAACACCTCCCTCCCACAGGGGAGAGTTTTACAGGCAGAAAGAAGAACAACCCCTAAAACCCTGTATACGTCCACTCGCCTGGTCCAATTCACATTGCCGTGCCTCACTCTCGCTTGCGCACGTCAATCTGTCAAACCCAAGCAGACGGAGTAGCCCACATGCCGTCACACTACAGACACTGGCTACCGATACACACGAATGTCAAAGCCACGCCTAGCTCCAACAGATTCTAGAACTCAAACCCCCCATTAGCAGGGCTTGTAGACCAGTTGACTCCACATAACAACCATAAATAACATGCGACTTCCTAGTTGCAATATGAGGCTTCAGGATCTTATCTCATCTTGGTATTTGTTGGGCACGGCCGTCCACTACGAACGACTTACTCGCGGTCACTAACCCCAGGACGAGGGTGCCTGAGTCGTGTAGCAGTGCCGTAGCCAAGGCCCTCTGACGGGAGAACAACGCTAAGCCACTGGGGAAGTGCGCCCATTTGCCCCCCCCCCCTAATTCCCCATTCTTGTTGCCTCTCTAGCCTATGGAACCTCTCGTAGTACGAAAGTTTAGATTTCAACGGGCGCGAAGCACCTATTGCGGATAGTTGCCAACTCACAGAAAGAATGCCAAGACGTGAGAGTCTAGAAGAGGGAAAAGACTCACGCGACACATTACCACGTCCATCAAATCTCCCAAGAGTAAATTCCCCGGCTGATTACCCGTTAAATTGCCCGCCCATCATCGTCGTGAGGCAGCAACACACGGCTAGCCAATGTGCCTGTAGAGATGTATCCGTATGAATACTCCATACTTTAGGTAGCGGACTTTGAACTGAGCAGCTCAGCAGCCCCCTACTAAGGATACCTAGCCAACGGAAGGCCCGCCAAGAGGGGGATTGGAAACACCTCATCGCCAAGAGCACAGATCAAGCTCATATACTCGATGGGCTTTTAATAGCCCCAAACACTGCCCGCGCAGGCGCCAAGACCACCCCCAAGCAAAGCCGGTGCAGCAACAGTAGTGAAAACTTGCGGACAGCATACTGGCCCGCGTCCTTCGCTTCTACGTGAACTTTACTCCGTACTCAACCAAATAGGCAGGCTATCCAGAGTCGACAGTATCGGATTTTGCCGTACGCCAAGTAACGCAGAACGGACCTCAAGGTGAACAACCTAGGCCACCAGCCAATCCACAATACCACAGTACTCCGTACACTACTCCGTACACTTGCAATTTTGGCCGGCCTTTGAGGCATAATCATGTGCCTGACCACTTTTACCACCTGCTCACTGACCAAGTGGTTCAGGACAGCTCCGTTACGGATACCAGCAACCTCGAAAATAGCATCCTCCTTGTAACCACATCGAGCAGATCTCGAGCACTTTCCAAGAAGTCGCAAACTCTTGGTTAGTCTTGGTTTAGCCAAAGTCTTGGTATTCCTCTTGCAGAGACAAGCCAGTCAACCTAGCAAGTCTACGGAAGAGGGCGGTGTCAACCTCAACAGACCCTTCATCCATGCCCCCAGAGGCCTTGGCATAATGTTTCCAAAGTTTATCACCTCCATCCCGTAGATTTGACTCAAGATGCAAGTTTCCGTTGTAAACTGATGTATAAGAAGAAGCTGATCATCCCGCCTTTTTCTCACTCCTGTCATCCCATCACCATCACCATCATCATCCCACTTCACCCACACAACTCCAATTCAACCTTCTCTCACAACCATCCAAACTCCTCTCCACCTCCAACTCAACACCAACACAACTGAACCGCCAAAATGCGCGCCGCCTTCGCCATCATCTCCCTCCTCGCCGCCACCGTCGCCGCCCGCTTCGACGGCCCTTGCACCGACACCGTCTGCGGCGACTCCAAGGTCAACTGCGAGGCCGAGGGCCGCATCTGCGTCGGCTTCCCCAGCGTCGACCCCGAGAAGCGCCTCGGATGCACTTGCAGCATTGTCTAAATGCAGATATCCTACAGAATGATTTTCAATTCCTACCTACGCATGGTATGTGTGCCCTTCAAGCTGCTGCTCCCTCTTCAAGGACCCTCATGGCTAACTCGATACCCATCAGATCAGCATTTGAAAGGTCTCCCATTGTGGAAAGACTTGGAGTTTTTGGGAAAGATACAGGAACGAGGAACAAGACACATCACTCACGGGAAACCCATCATGAAATGGCAAAACACCCAAAGGCGCTCGGAGAGAAGCGATGGAACCCACACGGCATGATATCCAAACCTGAACAAAAAACAGCATAGAAAAAATCCCACATACTACCTCTTCCTGTCCGCAACACAACACATCTCTGCCATTCCCAAAGTCCATGATGCAACCCATGATCGCCCATCTGCCGTGACGTCCGCCCATCCTTCCCGGCGCCACACCCGCCTCTCTCATCCGTTCAAGATCGCATAACCCGCCAAGACCCCAGACACGATTCGAGGCGCTCGTCTCCCGCAGCCAAGACTCGTCCACCTCACCACCACCACCCCAACTCCCTCCTTCACACCCCTTTTCCCATCCATTTGCTATACACGCACATACACCTCCATTCAAACAAACCCATCCATCCCCAGCCCCTCAAAAACCCCCGACGGCTCCTCGGTCCCACCGAATCGGCATCCTCCCCATCCCCGCTTACCCCCGAGACCCAACTCACCCGAGGGACCCGAATGCACGCAGCTCGAAACCCACTTTGCCGAGATCGATCGGCACCGGGATCAAGACTCACTTCAGTGCTGGGCACTTTACGGTAGGCAAACCAGCACGCGGGACAGCGAAGGCCTTAACAGAAGATTGCTTATCGTCGCTGACACCGCCACTGCTAAGAAAGTAAGAGTTAGTGCTGAGCCCCCTCTAATAATGAGAGGCTTGTGAGCCTCATGGGGAGAGGTTACATTCGGGACCGCTCTCTGTATCGGTATCTCAATCGCATCTCTCTAGCTACGTGTAACTATCCAATTGCGAGTAAGCTGTATGTTGTCGCAATCGGATCAAGTCTCGTCAGAATGCAGTCTTGCACACTTTACAGTAACGATTCCTTGCTGTGAGTCTAGACTTGGCATCACAGCGACGGGAATCCAAGACAGTATCCAAAGGGGGAAGAAGTTCCCCTTCACAGCACCACACACCGACCGTGTTACTTCTTCTATGCCTCGCATGGAAACAAGGAATCCCATCCAAATGTGTAAACATTGAAGAGACTAAAAGTACTAGTACCAAATAATAGTACATACAAATGAAAAGAGACCCATAATCTCAAACCCGAGACTCCCCATGGCTCCCGTTTCCCCCATTTTCTTCTTCCAAAAGAATAAGTCTCGCGTGTGGTATCATCCCGCTCCCAAAAAGTTCGTCCCAGGACAAACAAAAACGCCAAAAAGGTCACAGGCTACTATACAAATCAACCAGATGTAATACAAGAAGAAAAGAAAGAAAACATCAGGTGATGAATAAGAAGGGACTCACATCTTTCCCCATCCCCTAACAAACCCCCTCTGCGCCCCATTCACCCTCGCCAAGATCCCAAGCCCAACATCCTCACCTCCACCCCACCCGCCCCCGCGCTTGACGTTGATGCCGTACGCCATATCCCCGTCTCCCCTCACCCCATTGACGTCTTCCGCGCCCCTGCGCTTCCTCACCCGCTCATACCCAATCTTGAATCCCATCGAGTGGCTCCCGTCCAAGAAGCTGCGCTTCATCTCTTCCGTCGCCTGCCACTCCGCCCCACGGCCCAAGAACCCAAATACATTGCCGTCGGCCAGCAGCGCTGCCACGGAAGCGATACTGCACGGGTTCCGCGGGAGGATGGTATCCGTCCCGGGCGTGAGAAGCCACGCAACGAGCGTTAAGGCAACAAGGAGACCGAGCACGGACTGGATGATGCGTGTCGAAGCGGTGTCCTGCACCAGACGGCGCAGAGAGGTGACGGACGTCGACTCGAGCATGGCGGGGATGATCTGCTGCGCCGTCACGTCCGGGAGGCGACGACGGGAGTTGACGTTGAGGTTCTGGGCGCGCAAGATGCCGTGCTGCCGGACGATGGCATCCGCTACGAGACCGCTCTTGCCCAGGCCCGGATCGCCTAGGTTCCCCGCGGGCACCGCGAATCGCGATGTGACGAGTGAACTGAAGAACGGATCGAGCTGGTTGCCCGTGGTGAGGTTGGCGAGGAGTCCGTACTGCAACGGGAGCAGTCTTAACTTGATTGGCTTGGCGGTGTTTTCCTGGACGATGGGCGGGTAGGTTGTGTCCACGTGTAGCGAGGCGCCCGTGAGGCGGATCTTGGCCGTTACAGTCTCGAGCGTCTCGTTGCAGCCCATGGCTGAGATGTAGCCCACCTGCATGGGGGTGCTGTCGGAAAGCTGACCCCAGACATAGGTGAAATCGGAGCACTGCGACGAAGCAGCGGACCGTGGTGTAGCGACGCCGAAGACGGAAGAGGGGGAGACGCCCGGCGGTAAGACGGCGTTGGACCGGATTGATGGATCGAGGCACGGCTCACCGGCGATGTTGACCTTCATGTCCTGTGAAAACTGATTCGGCAAGTCAGGGACAGTAAAGTTTGTGTTGATCTCGGATTGCGGGTAGAGTCTGCAATCGAGCCGTGAGCGAAGGGCAGGCACCGTTGCGATAATGGTCCCGGCGCCGTCCTGCATATCGAGGGGCTCCGATAGCTGCAGACTGTTGAAGTTGAGGTCCTCAAAGGTGAATGATGGGAAGGTCAGGTTCGCGTCGAGAATCAGGGAGGCAAGAAGTGTATCAGTGGTACAGGTCGGACAAGGTGAGGACGCATTAATGAAGCTGTCGAGGGTCTGAAGGTTTACGGGCCGCGTAGACGGGATTGGTGTCGTACTGTATAGAGCCCCAGAGAATGTCGCTAGGAGCGACGCAACGATTAGAGCGGTGGTGGTGAACACGACAGCGATATTTTGCGTCTTGACGGCATCGAACAGGATTCTATGCTTGGACTTGTCCATGAAGTCCAGGTGAACCGTCGTCTCGAAGGATCCCCCTTCTTTGAGCTTTGCGTACGGCGCAAGACATCGGGTCGCACAGTCCGCGGCGGCGAGGTACAGCACCACCAGACCGAAAATGACGCCGGTCCCTGTTGTCCATAGAAAATGCTTGTCGGTGTTTGCCTTGGTCGTCGCGATGCCGGCGTGTGCGTTCGAAATACGAAGCACAACTTCAAGGGCAACGATCATGCCAATCATAGTCACCACGGCGGCGAACCTTGCCCATGGATTCAGCGGCAGCGGATGCTTCCAATCGGCGTTTCGTACAAACTCGACCGGCTGGTTCTGAGGGGGCGGGGCGCCACCAAAGATCTTGAAGTATCCTCTCGCCTCCTTTTCGGCCTTTTCGTAGGGTTCGACGCCGGTGTAGTAGTTCGTACCGAGCAGCTTCTCTCGTACGACTGATGTGTCGGCAGCACCGGTGCCGCGTAGACACTGAAGAAGCTGGCGACTATGAGCGAGGAGGGTAGCCATGTTGATAATGGTGTTTGGGTCGCGGGGCAGAAAGCCTTTTGCTGGCGCGAGGGCAATTGCAGCCAACACTAATATTAGAACGAAGCCCAGCAGGCCAGAAAGGAGGTGCGCTGGTATTTGGCGAACATTGAGCCGCTCTCCAATGATGATGGCCGTACCGGTAGATTTCTCTTGCGTCTCGCCCATCAATGAGCTCCGTGCGACGAGAGCAGTATACTGCTTCCAGTACGCTGTCGAGATCTGGGTCAGGTTGTCCGTCTTCAGGAACGTCTCGATCGGAGGAAGCCCGTAGTCCTTGATCTGCATAGCGACAGCCGAGTTCATGACGGCGTCGGAAGCAACAATGGCGATGCCGGGGTACCGACTATTGATGTTTGGTATCGCTGCGAGGATCTGCGAATCGGTGGGATAGGAGTTGAAGTGTCCTTGTACAATGTCCCACGGATGAACCAGCTCGAGGGTCTTGTTCGTTGCAGAGCGGTTCCGTTCGATCTTGATGAGTTGCGTGTTGTTCTTTGTGACATGAACCCTGGTGAGGAAGTACGATGGACGGCATATCAGTGCTGCAGACCTTGAAACAGCACCTGAAATGGGCACATTGAAAATGTCGCTTTCTGTCGGTACACTGGATTCGTTAATCTGGATGGCTCCCGTCATGACGACCACCCTCCCATCGTCTGGGAAGGGCGAGTTCCCGCACGTCCCAGCCTGAAATGCCATGAAGAAGGTAGGAAGTGTGAAGCCAATCAGCGCCATATTCGGGATGGTTTGCGTCAAGGTGCAATTCGGAGTCGAGACAGTGGCGTTGAGCTGAACGTCCGAAGCTTGGATGAACTGGACACCGTTCAAGGTGAACTGTGCCGGCTCACACTCGATTTCGGATTGGAAGCCGTCGACATTGGTCCTCAGCTCAGCTGTCGCGGGCAAGTCCGCAGAAAATGACTGGAAAGCGAATTCTTTGGAAGTGCCGTCTGGGAAGTTGAGGCCTTTCGTCTGGAGAGCTGTCATCGTGAAGAAAGGCAGGGCACCAGCATTCCGTAGCCCAGTGGGATCGCTCACAAACGTGTTCTGTAGGTTCAAACTCACACCTCGAGCAGTCACAATCTGGAACGTTGGGCTGACAAGCGCCACAGCGATGACGATGATGATTTTGAGCGTCAGGCCGATAGACGCCGTGGCCGCAACGAGCCAGTCCCGATTCTTTGTCGCTTTCGCAATGGTCCATGGCTCGAACATGAAGACGTAGTCGAGCATCAGGGTCCTGTCCACACTCGCAGGTCCCTTTGCCATCCGAAGCCACGGCGCGCTGGCTTTTGCCTGGTGTTCGGGTCTCGCCCATAATGCGGCGATACAGGTGAAGATGAAGGCCGAACCGTACTGCCATAGATATCTGAACCCATGCTCTGGCGAACCGAGTCCTCCTCTTTTGTTTGATAGGTCCAACACGGCTTCTACGGTTACCATGAGTCCGGCGAAGAGGACCGCAAACGAGCTGAGGACCCTCCTTTGGAGATAAAACGGTCGGTACGGAAGAGCGACGTCGACTAACCCATTTCGTTTTCGTAGGTCATCAGAATCGGCCGTGGTTGGTGGTGTCGAGGCGATTGGACGTGGTGGTTGAACTCGTTGTATTCGTGGGGCCGGTGGTATTTGTTGCGCGGGCGGAGGCGGCCTCACTCCTGGCACCGCTAGCCTTTGAGCATTTATCGGAGGAAAAGTTGCCTGGCGAGGCGTCAATGAGTATCGAGGGTTGGCCCTCGGCGGTTTTCCTGGGCTACTGATGGTAATTTCGGGCACCGGTAGCGGTCTCGGTCTATCGGCATCGCTGCTGCTACCTGACGAAGACGGTTCTATTATTGAGGGACGCGGCGTGCTAAAGGAACGGGAGTGACTGGTGTACGGCCGGGCGACGATGTCCCCTTGCGGCAGCGGCGGCGGCGGCGTATTTGATTCTGCTACATAACGATGATAGGAGTCCATGCCATTCGTAGTCTGCTTGCCTACTCTGCGGGGCACGTTTGCCCTGGCCCTCGCATCAGATGCCATTGATCAGAGGAGACAAACGCAGGCGAGATGGTCTTCTCGAGCAACGGACAAGTCCAGTCGGGGGAGCTGAGGGAAGGGAGACGGGGTCTAGCGTCAACTGAAATTCATCGTCTTCCGAGTGTCGTTGTGGTGTTTGATGTCCCAAGCGGCTCTGTTTGTTTTGTTTCTCGTTGGGTCGCCCCCTTAGCGGGAGGAAACGAAGATCAATGGTCGGGGTGTTTGTCGATCCTCTGGATTAGAATTGGGATTAAGAGCGCGCTTGTTGCGAGTAGATTGAGGCGAAGAACGGTAGAAAAGAGCGGAGAAGGCGGGCAGTAAGATAGTGGTAGCTAGCAAAGCCAGCAAGCCAGTACGGAGCGAGAGTGTGTGGTGGCAACGACCTAGCTTGTCTGACGAACTGGAACCTTGGATGAGCCGCAGGGAAGAGTTGCCCAGCGCCGTGTTACTCTATAGGCGCACTTTTGCATGAATAATGTTTGGGAATCCGGATGGGATTTTCTCTCAAGTCAGCCTCTCATTGACTGGTACCAGCCCAGGGTGAGGCAAGTCGGTAACAGTCGAATAAGAATATTAAGAACAAGGGAAGGGGGGAAATAGCGACCCAATCTAAGGGCTCGGAAGAAGAAAGGAAGGGAACAGCCTTGCTCCAACCCCGCGGACGATCACAGGTTCTCGCATGATATAAGAGAAGTAATCAGGAACGCTTCTTAGAAGGGAAGAAGAGAAGAGGGGTGGAGGGGCAGCGGCGGGCGGGGAAGACGCCGCTCGGGTGGTACGCCAGTCAGTCCTGCCAGCCTGCCCATCAAAGATCGTGCCGAGCTGTCTTGTGTCGCTGTCTTCTGTCACCTCGGCGTTCCAAGTTCTCTGATGGTGGCTTTCATCCCAATACGGGGTTAGGAGGGATATGTTACTGCCGCTTGGCAGACAACGACTTGTCGACTTTGCCAGGAGACTTCAAGCACGGCCTAGGGAGACAAACGTGCAGAGGCAACGGGCCAGTTTCAGAAGCAGGTTGGTCGGGCGCCCGTGGGGGATGTGAGGCTGGCTGAACGGGCGAGGTCGAGGAAGTTGAAGACGATTGGATGGAGGGCATGAGAGGTCGTCGGGAGAGGCATTGGAGGCTAACGGGAGGTTAATGTTATTGGTCCTGACTGGGCACGGTGAAACTGCCGCGTGTGGCGGCTGTGTGACAGAGTGTCACAGACCCCGGTTTCGACGTGTGCTTGTATGGTCCCCTCGACTCCTGGCGATTGTGTTAGAGTGTCCAGACTAAAGAAAAAGAGTCCACTTAGACTTCTTCTTCTTCCTCTTCTTCAGTCCTTCCCGCCTGCTTTACATTAGAGTATGCTGCCCAGTTGCCGTGCGGCGAAACGGACAGACCCGACCATGTTGCGAGCTGGGTGTTGCTTCCACTCCACTCAACCAACAGAAGAAAAACGTGGAGACTGGAGAGCGATCTGCAGCTAGCAGGGACACGCAGACGAGCGTAAAGAGACCACCCAGGGTCACCAAGGGGGTGCTGATGGTTTGTCCAGAGTTTCCTTTCGATAGGAAGTCGTCTAATTGGAAACGACAGGAGAAATCACAATCATCATCGAAAGGGGGCTCGATACCGTCCGGATGTATTGACTGAAAGCAGTGGCAGTTTGCGCTCAACTCAACGGAGAAGAGTCGTGCCCTGAGGTGTCCAGAAAAGAAAAGATGAAACAGGAACATCTCTTCCGGCGCACTCAGGGAGATGAAGTCGAATCGGGATGGACGATACGTACCGATTTACCCGATGCCCCGTCTCCTCGGTGTCTTGAAGAAATACGTACATGCGACCTGCAGCCAAACCTGCGAGCAAAGCTTAGGTACCTTACCGTGCTTCCCAAAGTGCATGCCTCAGTTGCTTCACAGCTCAAAGTGCTCCATAGCTGCACATCATCCTGCAGAACGACGCACCTCGAAATAAGCCTTGTCGTACTCGCATTCTCAATCAAGTACAATCGTCCGAACGGTCATTGACCAAAGTACGCAGGTTACTGGTCTTGTAGAATCATCATAAAAGCACAATGTTTTCTTACGCGGTGCTGAGTGTTGAGCGCCTCTAATGGTATGGGAAGGGATGCCACGGTTACCATCACAATCTCCCTAGCTACCTCGATAGCTCATCCAATTGAACTCTGAGTTTTCGGTATCGCTTCATAGCTCCTACAAGAATCGCATACACTGCTACCCTCAAACTTCTCCCCAAGTTTTGGCACTGTTGCAAACGCCCACTGCGCAGAAAAGGAATTGTAATCTGGAGAGTCATCCTGCCCACCCGTGATCTTGCAATTTGTTGGCCACCCGAGCCAACCAGTCGGAATATCAAGTCATCTTATCGGTTTCCTCGTTGATCCGCGTATCCCACGGGCAGAATTCGCCATCTTCGCTACCATGCCTCGCCTGGGTTCCGAATACCGAGTAATCTACCCGGCGGGATCTCTTCAATCCAAGTCTTGAACCCGCCCCCGCCCCCCTACCAGAAAGAAAAACATAGACCACCTCCAGGAGTTCGCCAGTTTGCTGCACTGGTCCAAACCTTTTTCTTCTCACAGGGCTGACCGTCGCAGCCGGTAGAACCGCTCGCCACCCGTCCCAGTGCCTACCTACCCCGCGGGGTGACACGTGCATACCGAACCCGACACCACCGCCACTTGATAGTTCGGTCGGGCGTGAACAACTATGACAGTCAGGCCATTTCCCAAAGGCTTTGACACCCCGTAGTTGGACGATAACAAGACGACACCGCATTGCTGACTCGTCGTCACATATCTAACTCTGCTCAGCTTCTCTCGCGCCATGACCATCGTGCCCCATTTCCATCAGAAAGGATAGGCAGCAAAACACCTAGATACTGGACAGACTGGGCGATGATCAGGTCTGATGAGAACTGACGAGGGCGAAACCTTTCCGAAAAGGTGGAGATCAGATTGACTGACAACCATGAGACGCTCCTAATAATACACACACTAGGTATACAAAAGTAAGGTGAACTTGACCAGACCATGGTGACACACGGCCTCCGGCAGTCAATCATCTGTGTTTCGTTTCTTCTCGGCCCCCTCTTCCGGCCCCTCGTCTAAAAATCCTGACTGCTTTTGTACAAGATAGGATGCAAATGGTAGGTAACGAAAATCAGTTACCCTGGGTATATAATGCGGAAGCCCTAAGTTGTTTCGAACGAGGGCGACCGTCGCAATCGTGCCATCATAATGCAGTCGTCGCCCGCAAAACGCCCAAATGCCTATGTTTCGCCATTCGTTAGGTGGTAGTGTGTTTCCTCCCTCTCAAACAGCGCAGGGCGGCCTCTGAGTGCTCCTGCGCTCCTAGTCGATAATCTCTTCACTCGGATCGTTGCGGCGGTGGAGATTCCCTGACTCGCTGGAGCCGCTGGGGTTTCGCTGGGTCTCGCTCGATCTCTCGCCCCACGCCGCATTTCCTGGGGCATCATCGGCCGTGGAGGTGTCCCATATTTCACTCGTTTCGCCTGACCCTGCCGTGGCTGAGTGTCATCGAGCAAAGCTCGCCGTATCGTGGCCATGTTTATGTGATCGTTGTTCCAATCCTCGCTTCCCATCATCAAATTCCGTATTTCTTCGGGTTCCAGCTACGAGCATCAATGATATTCTTGGCTTCGGCCTTGACGAGAAAGCCTGCATCGCAATAGGACATTTCTGGCCGTGCAATTTCGGGCGGGTAATGCTAGGTCAGCCGTTAGCGATAAATCCGAAAAGAACAGTATGATGTGTGCGCATACCAGTCGCATGCAGCACGCGTCCACCCAGCCTGTCGCGCAAGTTCCCAGATCCTGTCCAAACTTTGTCTTGTATTTTCCTCCGTTGGCCAATTCGCAGTCGGTGCCTACTCTCAGCTTGTTGTCGATTGAGCCCTTACAGCAATGCGGCTGCAAGGTGATGAAGGGACTGGCGAGCTTGTCGGCGGGCGGGTATGGATAACAGTGGAACGGCTCGCTCTGGGCGAGGATGACGGGTAGTCCGAATATCAAGAACAGCGTGACCAGAAAGGCCGAGAAGCCCAGCGGGCGATGCATCTTGGCAGGGATAAGCGAGTGTATGCGAACGACGAGAGCAGATGATGCGACGCCGGCGAAGAAGCGCGCAATGTGGTTGTGAAGCTTTTGAAGGACTTCGTAGAGGGGCCGGGGGAGGTGTTGGGCCAGCAGGTGTAGATAAGTGGCCGTAATGGCGAGGATTGGGGGTGGCGACGACGATGAAGGTGGCATTCTAGCTACCTAAATGTACTTCTATTAATGGAGCCCTCTTTGTTCGACGAGACTAGCTGACAGGCACGCAGCCAGATAGATTGACTGCGACCAGCAATACCTAGGCCGGAGTGGGAGCGGGTCGCCAGAAGGCCTGTTTGAGTGGAACGTCGAGGTTGCAAGGGCGAGCCAAGCAAGCCGCAGGCGTAAGCAGGTGTGTGCAGGCTGACTATCCGTACCTTCCAGCTTCGACTGGGATCTCCAGGTCCCCGTAGGTATATCGCGGCGGACGATACGACGTGGACCTTTTCCCTCGAGGAACCAAAGGGGCCCCGGGATGGAGACTTGGAGGGCGTGCTAGTGCTGCTTGATGACGCCGGGACTAGTGAGTGGCCTCTGCGGAGGGGAGGGGAGCGTCGCAGCGTTCTGAGCTTAAAGTGTGGCGCTGCCGGGACTATCGCCGTTGAGAAGGGTGCAAAATGCGCAGCGAAGTGACAGTGGACGCGTGGAGGGGTGGTGAGCGCGGCCAGGATGTGGTTGGAGTTTGATAAGACGTTTTGCGAAGTACAGATGCTTCCTCGAGAAAATCGAAGAGCGCGACAACGGGAACGACTGGAGTAATCGGAATGACTGGAAGTCTGGCAGAGGGGGAGGATGGCTTCGATGGAGGGAGTATCGCTGGAGTGTGGTCGAGTGCCGGAGAGTTTCGCGTTGGGAAGGGCGCAATCCAGGGAGATGGGACCGAAGTGGAAACAGTCTGATGGAGGGTGATCGCAGTCGATGAGATGCTTGACGTTGCCGAGTTGCGATGAAAGAACGCGCAATCCACCTTCTGCGACAAACGGGAGAGACAGACAGCGAGAGGCTACCGTATGAAGGTTTACGGATACAGGCGTGTAGTATGTATGGATGTCGCGTTTGAAATGAGGATCAAGTTTGTGAGAGTCACGAACATTGCAGAGAAGGAGGGATGGATAGGAGCGCAGTCACGGTTTGTTTGGATGAACCCCAAAGAGAAAGCCACGGCTAAAGGTGGCCGTCAGCCAAGCTTTCACGGCAAGCGAGAAGGAGCCAAGGCTAAACTAATAGGAAGGAACCACACAGCATTGGGGCCACGATGGGAAGGATTGGCGGCGACACAGGAGGAAGGAGGCGAGCACACGAGGTAGGTACTTCGGGGAGAAGCAAGCAAGGGAAAGGGCAGCGCTCGTGAGGCAGGCACGCAGGTATGGTGGGGACTGGAGAGAGAGGTAGAGAAGGCAAGAGCACTTCGTACCTTCCCCCAAGTACCCCAGAGCGAGACCGGGCGACAAAGGCTGTGCGCGCATAAGACGAGAAGGAAGAGAAGAAGAAAAGAAAAATGGCAGGGACAGAAGTTCGGTGCTACAAACAGCCGAAAAGAGACGGACAGAAAAGTCTCAAATGGCTGCCTGCTGGTGTCTCTTTTTTTGAATGTCCTTTTCAGCCATGTTCCGCGATTAAAATTGCGCCAGTAAGCACCAGCAGGAATTGACAAACCAACTGCAAAGTTGACCCAAACACTCCACACAATGTCACAATGCGTCGTCCAACGGAAAATCATTATACGAAAGCTCCTTCGAGTCTCCAAAGCAGAAAAAGACCCAATTTGGTGCGCATTTCCAACTCGTCGTTGCCAGGTTGGCCTCGGACTAGAACCCATTTGGAGCTCTCGCATACCTCTGCCCGCTTAGCCGGGCGTTTTCCCCCGCCAGTTGCGCCGCACGCGAGCCGCCAGTGTCCATCGTGCACCAGCACATCGTGGGATAAAGTGACCTTGGGATTCGCGGCACAGCAAGCAGGGTCCAGCAATTTTTTTTTTTCTCTTCTCGCTTTTTTTCTTCCTACTCTCCCTGTGTTACACGAAAGTTCTTTTCGGCCGGTGGGTGGATAATCTCACTCAACTCAAAAAGAGAGGATCATCTCAACCAAATGAAGCAGTACCTCTTCACTTGAGTTCATGACTCAATTGACTGAGATACCTTATACAGGGCGTTCAATGTTGACTGAAATATAGTTGCCCAAAACCTCCCAGTTCGCCGCATGTTCTCAGATGACAGTTCAAATATTCCGAGCAAAGGGCAACAGACCGCAGCAAGTCAAGATTGAGAAGGGGGGAAGGAAGAAGAACACCGCACACATTGTCTTCTTCTCTTTGGACACTTTTCCTCTTCCTTCAAGGGGGTTCCCTGGCGTCACTCATTCATCCCTCTTTCCATGCAAGGGCCAAGGGCCAGGCCGAATCCCACCAATCCACCTCTCCAATCCGTCTTCTGAGAAGTGACATTCTGATTGGCTATTAACCACATGTGGACAGGGGCTGGCGATCCACTCTTGTGCCCTATCAGGCGGGCCACGAATCAGATGCGCCCGCCTCACTCCCATTTCCCTTGAGGCACGGGCCCGTCTGCAGACCCGGCCCCCGATTAAGGTTATCCGGCCGGCCACTTCTCACGCTTCGCCGGTGACGCCGGAAAGAACGCCAAGACCCAACCTTTTGGGCCCGGTCTTCCCAACCTGCCATCGGGCGAATCGGCCCTCACAATAGGTACCTTCCGTCCAAAGGTTCCCTGCCGTTGATTACGTGCTATCTTCAGCCACACAGCACCAATTTCCACGGACAAGCTCTCCGCCTGCGTTCTAAACACTCACCAACTGACCTTGAACTCACCGAACAAGCCTTGTCGTCCGAAATAATTACCGGTGTGATGAGCACCTCTCTATGTGCAAAGTCTATCGCTCATGAACTGCAGACAACACCTTCCCCAGCGCGTTTGTCCTCCACTGTGAGGGTATCATGACCACTCAACCATTGAGATACTTCACTACGACCGCTTTCTTCACTCGTCGGCCTGCAGCTTGTTCCGTACTCCGACGCAATCTTTCTGACGGATATAATATGGAGCCGATTATCCTATATCGTCCAATAAACTTTTCTCGACATTTCGAGAAAAACTTTGTTGCAATCGCCAACGCCGATCCGAATTTGTCTGCGCTGGAGGCATCACATTGATTGTCTGTCATCAATCCAACGCAGCGAGTACCACGGCTTCGGGGAACCAACAATCCAGCAATGCCGTTATGATTATAGTAACCAACAAGTTCTTCGCCTCGGGACGATTTCCCGCCGGTGCAACGATCCACCCACAAGACAAACTGTCTTTAAGTGAGGAACAGGTTTCGGTCAGCCGAATTCGGCAACCGGTGTAACAAGGGACACCCTGAAACGGGGTTGCCCTTGAGTCGTCAGGGGTCCTGAAGCTGACGATAGCTGACTATCCGTAAGTCGGGCTGACTGTACACTTGTGAAGAGACCCTGAATGTCACATGTTGCATTAGACGGCAGTCCTTATTAAATAGCTGGCCCCTCTATCTGTCTACGCATTCAGTCTAGGGCGATGAAGGGACGAGAGCTTTGATACACCAACATCCGTGTGGCATCTACATCACCGGCCCAGTATTGACCGCCATTATTCCACATACTCTCACATGCTCAAGCTCTCCCAGTTGCAGTGATGAGAATCAAGCACTGATGGATGAGGCGGAGCTACGTGTATTCTTGATAGCCGGGACACTAGCAAACCGAAGCCCCTGAGGGTTTAGTACCCTCGTCGAGGACTGGTTCCTGTCCAATATTTAAGTAGAGGTTTTGGCAGATAGTAGGTCATTAACACACCATGAAGCCCGGCTACCAATCAGACCTTGACTCCAAGCTCCAATAACTCCGTGAACACCTTTCCCTCCGCCCTTCCTACCATCAACGGTCGGTCGACCTACCACCCAAACCCCCTACCCCCAAAGCGAACCCCCCCAAACCTCATTAACAACCCACACCCCAACAAGCACGACGAACCCAAGCATCGAGTCCCTCCTCCCCCGTCCCGCCCCCTCCCCACTCTTCTTCCCAACCCTCACCGGCCCCGCACCCCCCGTCACTGGCGGCACAATTCCACCGGCCCCCGAAGAAAGCGGAGGACCCCTCTCCTTCGGATAACACTTCCCCATCCAACACTTCTCATCCCGACTACACCCGCCCTGTACACCGCAGCACTCTCCACTCACACACATTCCGCCGCAGAGCTTCTTGCCCCGCGAGCAGCAGACCCCGATGGCGGCGTCGACGCAGTCGAAGCCTTGGGCGCAGCAGCCGGGCCCGCAGCAGGGCATGGATCTTGTGCAGCAGTTCCAGTTGCGGGGGAGGTTGCAGGATACTATGAGAGGCGTTAGCGTGATGATTCTAAAAGGCAAAGGAGAGGATGATGTGGAATGGATGTGATGGGGGTAAGGTATGGAGGACGGAAGGAGATACACACCTGTTCCTTTGGGACATGTGTCTGGGTCGCCGACGGAGCGCGCTGCGTAGAGGGCTGGGCTGCCGACTTCCCATTCTATGATGGAGATGGCTGGGTCTCGCCCGTATGGAGTGTGGCCATATGATGGCTTTTCCCGGGGTGGCTGTCCATATGAAGGCTTTCCGTATGAAGGTCTCTCGTCTGGCTGCTCGTACGGTGACGGTCCTTCCCCCGAGTCTTCGTGTGGCGTCTCATTGTAGGGTGTCTCTTCGTAAGGTGATTGCTCATACGGTACCTCTCCAACTCGCGATGCTGATGGCTGGTTGTCCTGCGATATCTCTTGAGGCATAGCGAGGCATATGGAGCTAACGGCCAACACTACCCCGAGTATCCGAGAAGACTGACTGAACTTCATTCTTTCGAAAGTATTGTTCGCAACTCCGTCGTGGAGAACCTGATGATTTGGTAATGGGGGTTTGTGTGGTGAGTGCAACGACGATCCAAGGTGTTGTGTTGATATAAGGACTCGTATCGTGAAGTGCAGTGAATCACTTGAAGGAAAGCCCCGTCGATAATATTTGTGACAAAAAGATTCTGATTCACCACACTGCTTGTTGTGGGATTTTGTTTGGTATTATCAAGCCCGCCATCTATGCAACTCCGAAAGCTCCCCAAATCCATCCATCCACCTTTACGTCCAAATCCGGAGATAGCTGTAACTTAAACCTTTCCAGCATCCTCCTTCAGCGACACAATACGGTTGAGAATAATCTTCTCATCGGTACTGTCAGAATCAATAGCCTAGTGTGGGTGTTAGTTCGTCTGTTAAAATTTCAGTCTTCACTCGTGGGCAGCTTACAAAGTAGGCAATGCGCGTCGCCTGGAAACGAACACTCTCAGGTCCGCCCTTGCCGAGCTCGCTCTCACCCGCAGCCTCAGGCCAAGGTGCACGTCTCTTGACTTCGTCAAAACCGCTCTCGATGAGCGCGTCGGGGTAGATGACCTCGCTCTCGGGGTTGATGTCGTTGAGGAAACCGCCCTCGGCGTCGTCGGGCTTCTCGCTCTTGAACAAAGAGTTGTGGATACGGGCCTCAACCTTCTTGGAACCCTCGGTACCGACCCAGTTGATGAAGGCCTTGGGCTTCTTCGTCTCTTTGTCGTAGACGGCACGGATCTCGGTGACCTTTCCTGTCGCCTCATCCTTGGTGTAGGAAGTAGCCTTAATGGGGAAGGGGGCATTGAGCAGACCGACGGTCTTGTTGGGTGCAAGACGGAAGTAATCCTTGCTGTCGACCTCTCTGAAATCGGCGCGATCGATGTAGACGGTCGGGGTGAACTTGATCGTGTGCGAACCCATGTTGGGGTCCTTGGGAGAGAAGGCGAGCTCTACGTCAGTAGCCTCGGCATCTTCGATGACAACCGGGATGGGATCCAAGACCATCATCAATCTGGGAACAGTTCGTTCTAGATACTTGCGCACCGTCTGCTCGAAACGCTTGATCTGAATGACAGAGACAGACGTCGTGACTCCCAGCTCATTGACGAAGTCGAGAATCGCGCGCGGGGGCACACCACGGCGCTTGATACCGATCAGAGTGTACAGACGTGGATCGTCCCAGCCACGCACAATCTTCTCCTCAACCAGCTTGAGGATCTTTCTCTTTGACAAGACGGTACCCGTGATACCTAGACGACCGTACTCGCGCTGCATCGGCTCGTAAACGCCGAGGGTCTTATTGAGCCACTCGTACGAGACACGGCTCTGGACGAACTCTGTTGTGCAGAGTGAGTGAGTGATGCCCTCGAAGCTATCACACAGGCAGTGCGTGAAGTCGTATGTCGGGTAGATCTTCCAGTCCCATCCTGTGCGGTGGTGCGGCGTGTCGGTCTTGATGCGGTATGCGGCGAGATCCCACATCTGGGGGTTGCCGTCGGTGATATCCTGCTTCATGCGCAAGAATGCTTCCCTAGGCTTGTATTTGCCGTCCTTCATATCTCTGAATTTCTGCAGGTTCTCTTCGACGGTGTGGTTCGCGTGCTCGCATCGGAACCTAGGGGAAGCGCCCTTCTCACCGCCACGCTGGAGCTTGATCTCGGTATCTGAGGGTGACTGATTAGCAAGTGCAGAGCACGTTGTATCTGATGCAGAAGATAGCCTCACCACCGCAGTAGCATACGTATGCCTTCTCCAATGTAATCATCTTCTCTGCCAAATCGTACAGCTTCTGGAAGTTGTCACTCGAGTACGTGATCTTGTACGGTGTGAAACCCAGCCAGCTGATCATCTCCTCAATGGCCGTGAAATATCTCTCCTCCTCCTTCTCGGGGTTCGTGTCGTCGAATCTCAGGTAGCAGACACCTCCGTGATGCTTGGCGAAACCGAAGTTGACGGCGATGGCCTTGGCATGGCCAATGTGCAAGCTAGGGGAAAGACGTCAATGGCGTGGCAAAGATAAGCATTGGGGCTCACGTACTAGCCATTGGGCTCGGGAGGGAAACGCGTCACGACATTCTCCGACGGCCTCTCCTTGTAGACCTCCTGGAGGAAGCCCTGCTTGAACATGGCCTCCGGGTCGAGGACGACCTCCTCAGGCTTAGCTTTGGGCTTCGCGGCGGGCTTGCTGTCGCCAGTACCGGCAGCCTTTGCGACAGCGTCCTTGGCAGCCTTTGCCTTTTCCGTGGCGGCCTTCTTCGCTCGCTTTGCCAGTCTCTTCTTCAGCTCGCCCTTGCTGACCATCTCTCCCGTCTCCTCGTCGAGCTGGAGCTTGGCCGTCGACTCGGCCAACTTGGCGGTGGGGTCCGCAGCAGCGTCCGCCATGGTAGCGGTGTCCGGTAGGCGATAAAGGGTGGTATGGGAGGTAAGCTTTGTCGAGATTCAGGAGTACCTTGCGGTCGCTCAATGGTCGATGTTCGTTCAATTGGGTTCCACGAGATGTTCACGGCGTGGAAAATGTGCGGTTGTGGTGGCGGGGCAACACTCGAGGTCTTCTTTTGCGGCGGGGATGACTCAAATGGATCCAAGGAGGGGTCATTGCACTGGCACAGCGTCCCTCGCTCAGCTTGCGCTGCGACACGCGACAAAGAACCGATAAGATAACGAACAACCGTATCTTATCGGTCAGATTGGTTTCCGATAAGGCACCTCGAAGGACTCGAGTTTGCTGCGTTTTCAGAATGGAAGCTTCCAAAATGCCTTGATGGCAAGCTATGAAATCTTTCGCCTTCGAGGTAAAGAGTCATTTCTATTGAATCATGAATAGTAGAATTCATCATTTCACACTCTCGACTTCCCGGCATTCTAGGGAAGCAATTCCTCACAGATACCTACCTAAGGTACCTACAGGGGCGAAGGGCACGTACCTTACTGCCCCTGCGATAACAGTGCGATAAGCTGCCAAAAGCTCGACAATTGGACCAACCTGAAAGACCAAGCTCCCATTGAGCTCGGAATAGCGCGGGGTCTTTCGTCATGGGCTCCCACCTCTCCTGCTTCCAGTCGGCTGCTTCTTTGTCACCAACACCTCAAAAGCAGCCCCCCGCGCCCGCTCCTAAACCTGCCAAATCATCGACACCAAACCCGAATAAGCAACCTTAAAGCTCGCCTATGCCAATTCGACAAGCAGTCAAAATGGTCACCACCGCCGTCGCCGACATCCCCACCGTTGAGCTCCTCTACAAGATCGGCCAGATCCATGCCAACCCGAAGGCCATCTTCCCCCACAATGCGTCGCATAACCAAAAAGTCGCCGTTGTTCGAGGCGACATCACCACCCTCGCCGTCGATGCAATTGTCAATGCCGCGAATAAGAGTCTTCTCGGAGGAGGCGGCGTCGACGGCGCGATCCACCGCGCAGCCGGCCGGGGACTGCTCCAGGAGTGCAGGACCCTGAACGGATGCGCCACCGGTTCCGCCAAGATCACGGGCGCCTACAACCTCCCCAGCAAGAAGATTATCCACGCCGTCGGCCCCATCTACGACGAGCTCAATCCCGACGACTCCGAAGCGAAGCTTGCGGGTTGCTACAGCACCAGCTTGAAGCTTGCTGTTCAGAATGGCTGTCGCAGCATCGCTTTCAGCGCGCTGAGCACCGGCGTTTACGGCTACCCGAGCACGGAGGCGGCTCCCGTTGCTGTCGAGGTTGTCAGAGAGTTCCTTGACGGAGAGAATGGCGATAAGTTGGACAAGATTGTCTTTTGCACCTTTGAGATGAAGGACGTCAGAGCCTACAACGAGACCCTTCCGTATGTTCAGACCTCAAAACTCCTTTGCACAGTAACTTGTCTTGCTAACATTCGTTCAATAGTTTCTTCTTCCCTCCCGACGACCAGCCAGCCACCAAGAAGACCGAGGCCAGCCCTTCCAAGAAGGAAACAGAAGAGGCGAAAGCTATCGCAGCTGAGTTGCCTAGCGTTCCCAAGTCTGACCCTTCTCAGTAAGCGACGTTCGCGCCGAAACACACCTGCAATTGGCCGTCGCGTCACTGCTCATGATACTACGACTGGACACCGTGATGGCTTAGGGAGTTTATGGAATTATACCAGGAAAAAGCGAGCCACTTAATATACCACCATGCATCGATACAAAATGACTATGACAATAGAGTTTGGGGGCCTTTTTTGGCAACTACGATCGACCTCGAACTTCCTTTGGGTTCGTACCTTCCCTGCAAACCTTCGTATCCCGTCGGTCGAATACTCAAATTGCCCACGTGACCCATGTAAATCCAACTTCAATGTCAAAGAAACCTACGATGGAGCTCCCGGTTCATAATTCTTTCTTCTTCCATATTGGATTAGCAAGATGCATCATTCTTGTCCTGCATCGAGGGATTCCTACAGTTGCGAGATCAAAAGCTGCCCATAGAAAGATTGAAAATTGTGAGTTGCGTGGTTCCGCAAGAAACTTTGACTTGCCTGGTGCTTTTCTTTAATCGACCCGTCCAGTATGGAGACACTCGTTTCTTTTACTAATGATGAAGCAGGCAAGTCTGAATGTCAACTAAGGTAGAGAGTGCAAAGAAGTCCATTTGAATAATACTGCTCAAAACCTACTCTTCGTTAAGTAATTAGGAAGATGTGTAAAATGAGAGCAGGTCATTCGAACGCATCTTGCCCTATCATATTGGATGCTGGTGAATATCGTAAGTGTTGTAATTGAGCCCGAATTTATTTCCGCCCCTCTGAGTATGCTCATGTGATACATTAGGCATGATCGACCTTCGCTACCCATTGAGGTCTAGAAACACTCGAGCGAGCGTAGTTGACCTTGGGTGTTTGGTACCATTGTTCATTTGAGGACACCCATCATCGACTACAATCGGAACAAGAGTCAAACCAGGGTCTCAAACACTAGTTTCTTTGAGTTTAAACCGCCGTTAATTGAGAGGACTTTTGTCTTTGACCTAATTCGATTTGATGCATGTCACGAGGAAACATTTACGAAATAGTCTAAGGCACAGGTAGACAGCAGCTGAGAGGTCACATGCAGATTGCATCTATGCCAATGATACCTTTTGATATGCCTCGACGCTGTGCGATTGTTTTGACAACAGAAATGCCAACACAATTCGATGAAGGCCTGAATCGAACAAAATGACATGGACAAGAGCGGGGTGGGGAATGCCCAGATATGCTCCCCATTATCGCGTGGCCGGGCCGAGAGCATCGCCAGGCACAGATGAGATGATGAGATCCCTCTCGACCGTTGCCGATGGTGTGAATTGCGACACTGACACGGCACTTGTTTGCCGCGGGACCAGGGACCTTTGCCTACCGGTCTAACCTATCTTCAGCAGGTGTTATTCCCATGTGCCCCCGCAACCCGGAACTAGAGCGAAAAAAGTTCTTATGCTGACCAAAGGTCCCAACGGTCTATAGACCAACGGGCCAACGGTAACGGTAGGATATCACCCCTAATTTGATAGATAAGGCGAGCGCTGTCGATCTTTGTCTTTTCGTGCTAACAACAAGGTAGCTTCCCGTCTCGCAGCTCGTAACCCCCCATCCGTCGCGCGAAAACCCCTCTACCTTATTTGACCTTTGGGCGAGGAATTGTCAGACTCTTCGAGTCTTAGTCAGGTGGTTGACTAAGACTGACTCGAGCTCGTAAGTCGAGTCTCTAAGAGGCCCTACAGCTTCTTAGACTCGACTCAGACCCGGAGCAACGGACTTCGAAATTCATCTTTAGTCAACGACTTTCCAACTTCGGTCGCGTCCAATATCGGTAGGAAAACACGAGTGAGGCACTGCTCCCCGACCTACCGCCGCTCGGGTGCAGATATGCAGGCCAAGAGTTGCGGCAACTGGGGTCGCGCCCCAGTCTTGTGGTAACCTCGTACATGCGACCTGCCATCTTGAGCTAGCTCCTCCTGTGATGAGAGCAATACAAGCTCATGCGATTGGGATGAACGCCCACTCGACATCCGATGGTGACATCGACAGTCTCCAGAAAACGACAACGGGTTGCCCCTCGGGTCGATTGTCGTTGAGAAGTGGATGACGACTACAATGGGGGTCTTCCTCGACTGCCAGACCAGAGTGGTATAAGAGACGCGCCGCCGCAGTCTGCGGGCGGTCGGGGATGCGTCTGTCGAGCTTGAGACTGCAGCCCAGCTTTCGACTCAATAGCCAAAAGTTGTGTCGTGTTACTCTCGTTGAATAGGCAAGATGCGCAGCTCCTCGATTGCCGTGCCGGCTTTGCTGGCCAGCGCAGCTGATCTCGCTGTCGCGCAATTCCCCAACTCGACGATCCCCGGCAACAGCTCTGAGCCTTGTGCTGCCGTGAGCGCTGCTTGGGCTTCGCAGCACGCGCGTGCTCCGACAGGTACTTGGAAACCCGATAATGAGATGCCCCATTGACGTAGACTGACAATGGTGATGCTGTAGTTGTCCCGACTGTACCGGCTCAGTTGGCCTACGACTGCCTCAACTCCGTCCCTCTCGGAAAGGAGGCAGCCATTGAGCTTGTGGACTCTCTGTTCCCATACCTCGAGTGGCAGAGTGGTAAGTCCACATCCGAATGATTTTGTTGAAATCTTTGAACCCTGAACTAACCTGGCTCTAGACGCTGCTTACAAGGCAGATCCCCCACCAGAGTACGACTTCCCGGCCTACGACCTCTTCGCAGCCGCCTCGAGCATCAGACAGAACTTGGTCGACGATGTTTACACCAGCGAATACGCCTTCCAGTCTGCTCTCTACGAGGAAGTGTTCGGTCCCGGTCACGACGGCCACTTCGTGTACTACCCCGACTTGCTCACGGCGGTGTTTGAGTGGACCCGTCAGCGGGGCTTGGTCTCCATTAGCGAGGATGGCTCATCTCTGCCAGTGATCAAAATCTACGGTACTTTCTGACTCGACGATGGTGAATCTATGAAGGTTATTCTAACTCTTCTCCAGAGGAGGTCATCTCTACGCCCGAGACTGCGTCCGCAGTCAAGCTCATCAACGGCATCGAGGCTTCCAAGTTTCTCGAGGACACCGTCAACAAGGCCAACTGGAACCGTGATGCTAACTCCGCCTACAACTCCATGTTCTTTGAGAAGTCTGGACAGGCCACCGGAATTGGCAACGGCTACTTCAGCTCTGGCGGTCGTGTCAGGTATGTTGGATGAGTCAACAATGAGTTAGTGGAACGTACTAACATAATTAACAGATACATCTACCAAGGCGCCAACACGACTCTCACTTTCGAGAACGGCACCGAGGTCACCTTCGAGAACCATGCACGGGTCAAGAAGGATCTCACCGGCATTGTAGACGGCCCCTCCTTCTACGCCAAGTTCTGCAACCCTCTGAGCCCGGCCTCCGGCACCCCGTCCGGCACCTCCCCTTCCAATGCCTCCACCCCTATCCTTCCAGGCTACCCTGAACCCGTCGTCACCACCAGCGACGGCGTTGTGTCCGGCTACTACCTCGAGGGCGAAGGTTTCGAGGACGTTGCCGTCATTGTCCTGACCGCCTTCGAGAACGAGAGCCCTGCCGAGTTCCAAAAGGTCGCCCAGGATTTCTACACCGCCGCCCTCTCCGCCGGCAAGACCAAGCTCGTCATCGACTTCCAGCAAAACGGCGGCGGCTACATCCTCCAGGGTTATGACTTCTTCCGCCAGCTGTTCCCCGAGACAGACCAAGATGGCTTCTCCCGCTGGAAGGAGAGCGACGGCTTCGTTGCCGCGGCCCAGATTGTCTCCGACATTGTGGCTGATGTGGACATCTACACCAGCGATGACGAGAACCTGATTTCCCTGGCTGAGAGCTGGTTCAACTGGCGCTACGACTACAACCTCACCAACCAGCCCTTCACCTCCTACGAGGACAAGTTCGCGCCCCAGGTCTTCCAGAACACCTCCTACACGGACCTCATGCGCTGGAACCTCAACGATCCGCTGACTACCACCAACGCCACCTTCGGTCTTGGTATCGAGATCCACGGGTACGGCAACCTCACCGGCCTTCCTCAGCCCTTCGCCGCTGAGAACATTATCATCCTCTACGACGGTGTCTGCGCTTCTACCTGCACCCTGGCCTCCGAGTTCCTCCGCCTCCACGGCGGCGTGAAGTCCGTTGCTTTCGGCGGTCTCCCTGTTGAGGGACCCATTGAGGGTGTCGGCGGTATCAAGGGCTCTCAGGTCCTCGACTGGAGCAACATCTACGGCTACACCGAGTTCCTCCTTCCCTACGCCTCCACTGACGAGCAAAAGGCCGCTTTTGCTCGCTACACCGACCTGCCCTTGAACCGCAGTCTCGCGGCTGCCGTTAACGTCCGCGATCAGATCCTGAGGGACAACGTGGATGATGGTATCCCTGCGCAGTACGTCCGCGAGGAGGCTGACTGCCGTCTTTACTGGACTCTGCCCATGATCAAGGATGTCACTGAGATCTGGAAGGCGACTGCAAACGCTGCTTTCAACGGTGGCAAGTGTGCTTACGGAGGTATTGCTAAGCGCGATGTGTCTGCTAAGGCGGCTGTCAAGCGTAGCGAGTACTTGGCTGCTTCGAGCCTCAAGGAGAGGGCTGCTCCTGTCCGCCGTGATGAACCGGTTGCCAATGACCGTTTCTGGCAGGACAAGTACGTGCTGAAGGCGATTGACTAACGTACGCGGCGATTTGTACTGTAAAAGAGATCTTGAATTGACTAATCCCAGGGCTAAAGCTCTATATCGTATTTTCTGTGTATTGAGGTTTCAAAACGGGTTGAAACGAATGGCAATTTTCATTGTTGCCTGTAGAATTCCATAATTATTCACTCTATTTATCTGAAGAAAGGTACGAACCACCATCTTTGTCCCTCGAGGACAGTGGGCGTTCCCGTCGCTTCTGGAGGGAAAGCCTCTCTCAAATCGGAAACCTCCTTTTCTGTAAAGATTTTAAGAACTTGGATAGCTTCAATTGTTTCCCGAGCCTTCGGCACCCGGACATGGTTGTCAGCCTCCGCTCCATGTTTGAGATTGCTGCGGCTTAGGACTGCACCGCATTCTATCATTAGTTTGCAGGCTTCGAAAGCGTTACGCGGTCGACTCGATTCGGACTCATCCTTCAATCTATAAAGAAACATTTTAAACACAACCAACAGTTCACGCTGCTCGTCGGGAAGCTCGAAGCGAGAAAGAAGGTTGCGGAGAAGCGACAGATCTACGAAATTCGTCCGAATTATCTCAGGGGGGTCACCGGCCTCCACATACATTGCTCCTGCCAGGACGCTTGTCACCGCCTCAGAGAGATGGTATCCGTGCGGCTGTATGTGCGTAGGTATTGATAGAGTGCCTTGTAACGCAACAATTGTTTTTGCCCAGACCTGGGATGCCAGGCGGAAAGTTTCGATAGCAACTGGAGTGTCACGGCTGAGGTCCAATGTATTCATCATTCTCCCACAAAGACTGAGAAGCCCCGGGCCGGAGGTCAATACGTCCTGCATCTCCGCTTGCTCAATCGTGTGTAAAGACCTAATCAGAAAGTCCGTGCCAATGTCAAAACTGCTTCCATCTACTGGTCCTCGCAATTGCGAACCGGATTGCTCGAATGACTTTGCAAGCCAATAACGTTGGTGTTTTAGTGGAACCAGCCACTCGTGACTTTTGGAACGCTGAAGAAATTCTACCACTGTTCGGTGGAGAAATCCAATTCTCAGATTGAATGGCGCAGGCGCATCCACCTCCCAGCTTTGGACCAAGTCGCAACATTGAGCTAAAATTTGATCTCTCTTTCTTGACACATCCGAATGGTGAGACAGAGACTTCAAGCTGTGTGCCATGGGATTAGAAAGTTATGTTGATAGCAAGCCAGAACCCCAATGATCCGGTTCTTGATATTGACGGTAGAGAGCTTCTTCGGCATCCGGCTGGATTTCGACTGACGAGGTAGGAATGCTGCCCAACTTACTTAGCGAAAACTTGGGTCTTGTATTCGATGATCTGAACTGCTTTGTAGACTTAGAGTTCCCCATGGCTTCAAAGTAAGTATCCATGATCAAGAAGCAATCCACGGGAACAGGCATGTCTGCAATCAATAGCATGGAAAAGGTTCCAGATGCGGCTTCCCTGTAGACGTCTTCGATAGAGTCAAGCATTCGCTGGAAGAATTCGTCGAGATCGGAAGGAAAGCTTGCAACTCTCTTCTGCAATATTGCAAGGTCGTCCCAATTGTCTAAACCACGAGCGAGAGATTTGACAACCAGAGCAACCCAAAAGAAAACGCCTTCTGACTTCTGCGAGATAATCTCACTCAGATTCGTAGCCTCCGTTTGATGGGTTTTCAGTAAATAATGATAGTGTTCGTGCTGTCCCAGAACGTCGCGTACATAGATTGTCATATCTTTCGCTGTGAGTCGGTCCATCCTGATACGGTCGAGAAAGTTGCCGTAGGCATCTTCGAATAATCGCCACGGCCGGCTTGCACAGCATATCTTTAAGCCAGAAGCGTGGACCATGTTGTCGAGAAATTTGAGTAAATCCTTGTGGTTGCCCTTGTACTCATCAAGCCCATCTATGAATATCAGGATGCGCTTTGTACAAAACGAAGCGCTCCTGAGACGTTCAAAAGCATCAAGTAACCCCTCAATTGTCCAAATGTCAAGGGTGTGTGTCGGACTGGCGTATCTCTCTGGGAAGACATCGGGTATGAGTTCCGGACATTTGACCATGATCTGGAATAGCAGCGCTCTGAGAAAGCCTTCTTGGGAACTCTGGAGGCCATTTCTGATACCCCAGAAGAAGTGGTTAGCAATTACAAGTTGATGCGGGCCCGCCCACGTATTTGCTAGCTGCGAAGTTTTGTCGTGTCCAAATACGAACTTCATGAGAGTCGATTTTCCGGAGCCCGGTTTGCCAGTAATCCAGAATATGCCATTTGAGCTTTGGAGCCAGGAAGAGAAACTAATATTGGTGGACTCTTGGAAAATCCATTCAAACGTGTTTTGGTGCGCCTTGGGTATCTCGGTCTGTTGTTCAATTATCTGTGCGAATCGCAGGCTTTTGAGAATTTGCAGAATGTTGCCCTGATGTTTCGCGTCCTCTACGAAGCGGGAGAGCATCGAAGAAAATGCTTCCAACTCTATCGCAGACGAGGCCTCATTCTCGGACTCCAAGAGTTTGCCGATGTCCTTAGACATTTGGTCGAGCCTGGCATTGGTGGCACGGTTCCAGGCTGCTGAAGTATCACCCAAGGACCGTACATGGTCAGATACCTCGGAACGATGCTGGCTAGAGGACTGTCTTAGCTTTGCGAGGGTTTCAGAGAGTGGAAACTAACAAAAGAAGTATTTGAAGTCCCTCAAAGATTGCGGTTTGAACTATCCGTAGTCTCTTTTGAATGTCGGTGATTTTGCTTTCCTTGAAATATGCTCTGACGGAGAGTTTGACCTTCGTTAACCTCGGGTACTTGCCATCAATAGCAGTCGTCAGACCACCGGCCGCATCAACAAGTTCTTTCGAAGTTTTTATGCAACGCTGCAGAAGGCTCTTCATGCCGTCATCGATCTTGATGTTGGCGTCTGCCTCCAGTCGAATACAGCGGCGTTGCAAATCTCTGGCCATGGCTTTCAGTTCGACTAATCGTGGTATCAAACCATCGTCGGTGATACTGCGATACGTACTGACGATGGAGATCGATACTTTGAGCCCAAGCTCTAGAAATTGAACAATGTTGGCTGCAACGCTGAGTGCTGCTAGCTCGGCCATGATGAGAGCGACTCATGGGCGGAGGAATACTCTTCGTCTTGAGATTTCTAGTGACCCCGCTTTCGTATGGGTGATGAAACTGAGAAGATACCAACATAGAGGCTGCCTGGCCTGACCGATAGGACAGGCTACCAGCTGCATGAACATGGCAATGACTACGTACGCTGACAGCCACCGCCACATTCCGGTAAATGTTGCATGCGGATGTAAGCCCAATCAAAGTAGCGAGTCATCTTGTGCAACGCGGGCTCAAGCAGGCGAATCACATGATGTCTGCTATAAGTCATGTGAAGCGAAACTCATCGTAAAAGACGCTGGTTGGTTGAGAGGCACACTAAGGAGCCTATTTTTATTCACGCATCTCAGTACAGGGCTGGAAATCCTGGAGTACAGAGAAGCATGGCGGGTATCACCACCACAGACATTCTTTACCCTTGGGCTCATCACCACGTTACATCGCATCCAAAAGCATCAAGTTGAAACCAGCGAGATGTATTCAGAACAGCGTTGTTGGATGTCGGAGTACATCCACACGTTAAGTTGTATACCGCCGCCCCTCATCCGACATTAACTTAGCCAGTGTCTAGTACAGTCCTGGAAGGTAAATAATCAGGTACCTACCTGAATTTCGATGTAGGATCGCAAGTTGCTGGCATCAAGATATTACTGGAAAACAATCTTAAGATGGGAGGCAGGGCGAGGTATCAAGCAGTTGAGCATTGTGAAGTTGGATGTCTTAGAAGCTCATGAATGAAATGATGAGATGGGTATCGTATGAACCACTAGCTCCTCGAAAACAGCTTCGCGGGCCAGGCTTCCGGCATTCGCCCTTAGTCCAGCCTCTTCCACCAAAGCTCTCCGCGATTGCTGCCGTCTCGTTGTGAAGAGATGCGCAGAATCTTTCCATCCTCATAGAGTGTGTAGTTGCGCGCTTGGCTGCCCCCGGCCATAGATGGGACGTTGGCGACGGTCAAGGGTCCGTGGATGACTTGGCCGAAGGTCGCGTTCGCGGGGAATGCATCGCTGATTCTGAGCGGCCCGGCATAACCGATGCTGTGCTTGCCAACAAGGGCCCAGTCGGCGTCTGATTGTGAATCTTCGAAGGGAAATGTTAAGTTCGCGGGCCGGTCTTCGGGGTCTGTTGATGTGATCGTTGCGGACATGAAGCCGGACTTGCTGTAGGAGAGGATGCCGACGGGGTTGGAACCGTATGTTCGGTCTGGCACAGCGACTCCATCACGTGTACTGCACAAGTCAAGTGTTAGATCCCGATCAGTCCTGTACCTTGAACCAGCACATTCGAAGTCAACTTACGCTGAGGTGTTGAGAAGCTGGTATGTTCCCGCCAAGATGGCGAGGATCTCCGTAGGCTGCATTTTGACGTGTAAATAAGGTATTTTCTTGAAGGACGATCAAATTGGACTAGCTCAAACGGTCTCGGTAGTCATCCAAGAGAACGAAGGAGAAGGGTCTTTAAGTGATCAACTGCCATCGGAAGGAACACCGTCCGTCTAAAGCTTTAAGGGCTCGCCCAAATCCAAACATGTCCGCCTCTGCACGTCCATCCGCGCGGGTTTGCCCCGAAAGGGTGTGCCTCAAGCGGTTACGTGATAGGTCACGACATCTTAAAAAGCCGTTTCCTCGGAGGCTTGAGGCAAGGGTCTCCAAGGAACTTTAATCAACCTGCTCAGGCACGCAGTCTTCATGCCATGGATTTGGAAGTGGATCGCGTGCCAAGCAATTAAACTTACGGGATTTCCCTGGGGTGCCCCCTCTACCCAAAGGTCCAGAAGCTGTGGAAGCGCTGAAAGCACCTTCCTTCGCTATCGCCATGGGTGTTAAGCGAGCAGCGGGACTGACTCGCAGATTGATGAAAAGGGTCTTTTCGCCGAGATGGCGAGGAAAGGGGTGGCGCGCGGCTTGAGATTGCTGTTCCGAGTTTTCACGATGGAAAAACGACGCAAGAAACGCTTCGTTTCGTCCAAAGTTCCTTCTTTCTTGGCCTTTGAAGGCTGTCTTAACTTTGAAGAACGGATTAACAGGGAGAAGTTGGGGAAATCGAACCAAAGAGCTGGAGATTTGGCTTGGCCTAGCTTGGCAACTTGGCGTAATGGAACTGTCACCGGGCGATTGTGGGGGACGTCGTGCGGGGTACTTCTTTAGTTGCATTCTTATTTCGAAGAAAAGATGAAGGCCTTAATTACTTATTACTGAACCCGACCACTCCGGAGAAGAAGCTCGAAGGTGGCCTAAGAAGGTTATGAGCCCCGAAAGCTACCCGGTCTCGGTGGAACGGATGAACCGGAAGGCGACCTGCCAAGTTTAGCAACGTACCCCTGGAGAACATGTCACGAGAATGTTAATTCCTCGCCTATCCCGTGAGGGGTCACACAAAGTGGAGGGGGGTGCACTACTTATTTTGTTACGATATTGATGAAAGACGACTCAGCTGAGCACATCAGCAAGCACATAAAGCTGAGAATTTGCCGATGGGTATATCTAATCTGGGAAAGACCAGAGGGGCTGGACCATCTTTCTAGTACTCGCACTCAAAGCACGTGATAAATGCGTGCAGTCGAAGTTCCCAGGGCTATCATACCTGAAGTACGGGGAACACCGCAGGAAGTTAACCCAAGTTCTGGGTGTCGATATTGGGCTGACGTTTGGTAACGTGTTAAGGATCAACTTCGCAGTTCTGAGGGCAACGATACACCTTAGATCTAGCTAACTTCATATCGCGCAACAACCTTACATATTGCCGCCGAATCAACATTCAAGTAGGGCTTGTATTGGGTCCAGGAATTTCATCGCATCTTAAATCCCAGCAGTACTTGGCTTCTTGTCTGATATGCCCACTCTCAAAATCACCTTTTGCGAGAAAGCTATCGCTGCAAGGCTTTGAGATGGTGACCCATGTAATACGGGAAAAGGACGGCGGAAAGTTAATGACTTGAACGTAGCAATAGGTGCCGAATGACTTGAGGACCACTTGAAAAACCAAGTATGGTCAAGGAAGCAAGGTGTGCGGGAATTCAAGACTCTCAGCATACATGTTGCGGCTCCTTGCGCGCATGGCAGAGCCCAAAATTCCAATCCCGAATGCGCATCATGACGGTAAGAGGGACAATGACATGAAGTCGCAGGACCACCTTGATGGATCTCACACTCAGATCCTCTGAAGATCAAAAGGCTTGGATGACGGATAGCGCCTATGGTTTTGCTACGTTAGATCGTTGCTAGTCGCAGCGATCAATTCTGCACCGTATCTAGTCTCACAATGATTGGATAGTAGGGCACGCCCAGCGGCTATTGACATCAGAGACTTATACACAGCCGAAGACTCAACTTGGCAGTCAGATTTTAGAGTAAAGCTCTTCTAGAATGAGACAACGTCGTCGATTCTGCTCAAGTAAAACTCCGAATGTAGTTAGGCCCGGGCGGGTAGTGTCAATTTGAGGTGCTGATCTTGAGATCAGCTTCGCATAATATTAGCGTCCCGGAACCCTCAAACAATTTTTCATCTTTCCATTTTCAAATGATAAATCGTTTATTCCGAAAAATAACACGACTTTCCAAGCGTTTTCAACTCACCCAACCGATATCAATTCGCCAACATTAGACACAATGCCGTCCCCTCGGCTATTTGCAGCCGTCAGTGCAGCTTTGCTCGTTGCTTCCTTCGGGCTTCTTCTTACCACTTGCATATCTGTCCCCAACACAAGTTTGTCAATCTTCACATTAGAGGCGACCAGACGTGGAGCAGGTGGGTCAATTGGACCATCTATTGTTCTTGACTTCGGGCTTTGGGGTTGGTGTCAAGCAACGGCTGCCACATGGTAAGTCACGAGCGTGACACCCCACCTTGTAATAGTTCAGTATGATAAGATTTATACGAACTATCTGAGAGAAGATCGCAGTACTCATACATCATGTTCTATCTAGGCCAAGATACCCACAGGGATGTCTTAGAGTCGGAGGCTCGGCGGGCTATGATCCAGCCGCCATTATCCGTCCCATGATCATCGGGTTTCCCTCCTCGATAGAAAGCAGAGGAATGCGCGACTTGACACTAGGATTCCCATTGCCTGCTGTTGCCACTGCTACATCTGGACTGGGTCTTCTTTCTGCACTTGCCAGCCTTGTCAAACTCAACCGTCTCACAACCTTGGCCAGCGCGATTCTTGCGATTTTATCATTCATATTCGCCGTATCGGCGCTTGGCTGCATTTTCTCACTGTTCGAGGAAATAAGAAAAGAGTTGCCGAGAAGTACAGATTTGCGGTTGGCTACGAACGTACGAAACTTGCACGATATCTCAACGAAATACGGGGCTTGTTCTTGGACTTTAGTTGCTGCTTGTGCCATGTTATTGTTGAGCGCAGCAGTTTTCATGTTTGCGTGGCTAGCTGAAGTGCGACAGACCCGACAGAAAGTCAGTGATGATAGCAGAGAAAAAGCCAGCTACTCGCCATCAGAGGGCAGATCATCGGGGGTGGGATCTTGAATGTTCGCGATATGCGAGAAAAAGGCGTCGCTGTCAGATTCGATGTCTCCTCGGCCCATAGATCAGCTGGGCCGCAGGTGCTACATATATTTCTAGATACATCCAAATCCCCCATTCTTTTCGCAGCATTTCGAAAATTGTCTTAATTCTCGAGGGTTCCGATAATTCAGGGGGCATGTTGTGCCGTTCCACTGGCCTCCCGCAAGGTAACAGCACTCGTAGCTAGCAACGTGATCTGCATGAACAGGATTCCATTTATTGACAATAAAAATACAATTGCAAGGAAATATGTCTTGCTCTCGTATTGGGACGTCAGTGGCCACGGACAACGTGATTCCAGCAAGGATGGCCATTATGAAGGAGATTGGCATCATCTTGACCTAAGGTAGAATTGATAAGTGCTGGCTTGTGGTAAGATTTCGAATAAATTGTACGGTACCACCGGATTGAAATGATATGATCTGCAGTGAATCCAATGGCTGACAGGTGGATTTGATCGGTGATCGCAGGAAGATGTAAGAGGAGGCCACACAGGGTGGGTCGGTGATGGATGGCAAGTCTCTTAAGTGAGGTCGTTGATGGCAACTCCATGTTTAAACGTCGGAGAGGAAAGAAAGTACCGAAAATTTATAGGATAATTTTGATGCTCATAGGTAGCCAGCCAGGTTACGTCGGGGCCTGCCTTAATGTCCATACATGTAGGCAGCACAAGGTACTTCTGTTCAAATTGGGTTCAAAGCCTGTTCGGTCTTCCATACCTTTACCTTAACAATAGCATGAGAACACCGTTTCTTCTGCTTAGGCCGATTGCACGAGTCTTCAAGCGTATGTTGTTTCATTCTGTGTTCCTAGCACGCTGTTGATCGTTGCGCCTGCGCTGATGCATCCCGTTCCGATATACTTATAGGACAAGGCGGTGACACCATTGCTTGAACTTTTTGGCATGTATTTCATGACTCTACCTTCTGTTCTTTTGAACTGTTAGGTAGCCGGAACTGTCCTGAGAAGCTTGGGTTCTGCACCTAACGGCCTTGCCTGGTATTTCAAGGTCCATGGCGACATGCCAAACACGAGCGGTTCTTCTAGAGTACTAAAGGCTTTATTGACAGGTTTTAGTTATTGATGGGCCGTTAGCGATGCTTTTGCAATGTTCTGAGTAAGGCCATTTAGCAACATGTATTCGTTCAACCTGAACTTATCGAGGGCACAGTTGTGCCATCGCGGGCCTTCTTGCCCTTTCGGTCAATTTAAAGAAGGCCATGATCATGTGTTTCTCAACACACCTACCGCAGAATTGCATTATTATGCAAACTATTCGATGGATTAGATCAATTCCTAGCTGGCTCAGTATTCGAAGACGGTCATTAAGAAGACGAGACAAGGATTGCCCACGTCGAAGCAGAGAATTAGGCATCTAAGATGACATCACAAATTGAGTTCGAATTAGTACAACGCATAACAAGCCGTTGCATACTGACTAAGCTGTCTACACGTCTGGTCAGACATCAGACGTTTCATCCTCTGAGCTACCGTCGGCAATGGCCTCGGATCTTCGGGGCGACTGTTATTGCGGACTACTTAAAGGCCGAGCTCCCCGGGATCAGAGCTTCGCAGCTTTGACAATCAGCGCATCAGGCTTTCATCCGACTACCATCGTTCTTCAGGACTCAAGCAGAACAAAGCCGCCATGTCAACGGTCTTTCATGTCACTGTTCACGTTGCGCCGCAGGATGTCTCGAGATTTCTGCGGGCTGCGGAGCCGACAATTGAAAAGATGAAGAAAGAGTCCGAGCTGATGTACTTCGAGATGTATCAAGTTCATGACTCTCCTGGTACGATTACGTGGATTGAGAAATGGTATGCTCAGCCTAACCTCATGAACGAGGTTGGAGGTTTTTCTGACATTCTTTTAGGTCAGAGCCAGTAGACTGGATAATGAAGGTTAGTTGGAGTAGCTTCCCGTATATGGTCTTTTGACTAATCAGTGCGATGACTCTGCAGCACCAAATGACGAAGGACTATTATAATGACTACTTTGACGCTACGGAACCGTTTTACATTGCACCGCGGGAGCTGAGAATTTTGAGCTCTCTTGGACCTCGTCATACGTATCAGAAGTCGTGAAACAGACTGGGCGCGCGTTGAAGCAATCTGGAAGCGGACTGGAGTCGAAGATAGATGTGAAATAGAAAAGCCGAAAAACTCATAGTGAGGAACTACCTCGATGACTGTATCAGTCCGCTTCCGAGTCTTGACTTAAAACGATTATTAACCTGTGGAGCAATGATGCATGTCTTGACAAGGAACAATTCTTCCATTCAATCTTACTAAACTCCTGGGTGTAGACTCCCCAAATCGCATCGCCAGCGGATGGGCCTAGGATTAATATGTCACGAAAAGTAAGTGAAGCTAATGCTGTCCAAATGGGGTGGGCCCACTTTCTGTAACAGAATCATATTTGTGTGGTCAGAAGAAACATTGAGACATGGATATCGATCCCATGATCTTGCCGAAAGCTTCGTGAAGACATGTTATTCTCATAATTTAGATCAGACCACATTAAAGTTATATTATTACTGACTTCGAGCATTTGCAAGAGGCTTAATCTTATCGAAGCCACCGTCTCATAATCCGTGGCATGTCAGCTTTCCGACATCGATATCACTTATGGTCTTGCCGGCTTGAGAGTTGTGAGTCGAATACCAAGACTTCGCCGATGAAGGGCCGAAAGTGAGTTTCTCACGAGAGTAAATCGATGAGTAAAGATGCTAAGTAAAATCAGTTTGATTGCCCAATTGCTCCTTGGCCCGGCGGCCTGGTCCTTTGGGGTCTTGGCAAGATAACACCTCTTGGCGAGCGACACCGCTGGAAGCTTTAGAGGTTGTTCCAAGACTTTTCCACCCCACACTTTGAGGGGCCTCCTCCACACCGAAGGTAAACACATTCCTATTTCCGCATAGTTCGGGGACAAGTACCGTGATCATCGTACCGCGAGAGGAAATATCATGACGTCTCTGGCATTGGGGCAGGGTAAATGAGGCCTTGGCGACACTATCGGCGTCGGCTGAAGGCCGAAGGGCCCCGGTGAGGATCAATAAAATAGTAGACATGGTCGCATTGTGTGCTGCCCGTTGGTCCTGATCGTCTTGCGCCTTCAACCTCAAAAAACCCTTGAAACTCCGGAACCAACTCCGTGCTTGACAATGCACGTTCCAGAGATTGCGGCTTTCGCCCTGCTTCGCGCAGGCCTTGCTGCTGCTCAGCTCACGTATGCTAGCAACCAGGTTGAGGTAGTCCCGGATAGCGAAGTAGTAGCGGCGAACTTCCCAGAAGTTGAAGATGTTGACCTGCGCTCGCCCGCTTTCGCCAACCCGGACGGTGTCCCGGCCACCTTTGCTAATGGCACGAGCGGCCCGACAGACCAGGCCACTCTCGGTGAGTCGAATTGAATTGAGATGCTTAACTCTGCGGCCCAACTCTAAGGACTTATGATCGGCAGACTACTTCCTCCAAACTCTCGCAGCGCGCAATGAGTGGATGACCTACCACAGTCCCGACTTCAAGTCGGAAGAAGGCCGCTCGATTCCTTACGTCTACCTGTCTACCTCGAAAGGCGTCCCGACGGATACCAGCCAGAACACCTACGGCAATGCTAGCGCACCCTCAAAAGTACGCATCTGGATGCAGGGCGGCGTCCACGGAAACGAACCAGCTGGTGACCAGGCCCTGCTCGCCCTCCTTGGCAGGTTCGACGCCAATGCCACCTGGGCGGCTTCAATCCTTGAGAAAGTCGACATCATGATGCTCCCGAGATACAATCCGGACGGTGTGGCGTACTTCCAACGATACTTTGCGACCAGCTTCGACCCGAACCGCGACCACACGAAACTTGCGCGCCAGCAGACTCGGGACATCAAGCAGCTGATGGTGAGCTTCGCGCCTCATGTCGGTGTAGATTGTCACGAGTATAGCCCTACTACACCCTTTGGGACCAACGAGCAATGGGTAGATGCCCAAGACGGCCAGTTCTCTGCCATGAAGAACGCCAACATCCATCCCGATATCCGGAACATGTCCGAAGCCGTCTTCGCGAACAACATTGCCGCAGCTATGGAGAGACGAGGTCTCCGATGGGGCCCTTATATCGTCGGTCCCTCGGGCACAGACAATCTTGTTCTGGAAGAAACCACCGGTGACGCCAAAATCGGAGATAGCGCCGTTGCACTGACCCAAGCCATCATGTTCCTAACCGAGACACGAGGCATCGGACTAGCAGACCAGCACTGGCAGCGCCGCGTCGCAACGGGCCTGACGATGGTCGAGACAATCGTTCAGACGGCTGCTGATAGGGCCGAAGAAGTACTCTCGACAGTGGAAAACGCGCGCGCAAAGTTCATCGCCAGCACCGACGACATCATTGTTACGGAGTCTGCTCGGCCGACCAACATCACTTGGCAGTTCATCGAAGCGACGACGGGAGATCTCGTTGATATTCCTGTTCAGTTCCTCAACACCACACCCGTGGTAGCAAACCTCACCCGTGCGAGACCAGAGGCATATGTCTTTTCACGCGCGTGGGCTGATGTGGCTGAGCGTCTGCGAATTACTGGCGTGGAAGTACAGACGTTACAATCTGATTTCCAAGGCGAGGTTGAGGCATTCAACATCATGAGTGCCGAAGTAGCGCGGACAAAGTATGAGGGAATTGCTCGCACGACTGTGACGACGGAGACCGTGGTCAAGGAGGTTCGGATCCCGGCTGGCGGGTTCTGGGTCAGTACTAGGCAGAAGAATGCGGCGCACGCGTTTGTGACTCTTGAGCCTGAAGGTATCGACTCTTATGCTACCTTTAACGTTCTGCCGGTGAGCGTTGGTGATGAGTATCAAGTTTACCGCGTCATGGCATAGGTGATGAAACACGCCTGAGAGAGGGTTATATTTGAGCATTCTCGCTAAACAATCTAATTGTAATGAACGACTTTGACGGTCAAGTGCCCTGTCCTCTAAACTTCTCTATTCTGGAGTGGGCGAGTAACTGAAGACCTCTTTGGTCATCCACTACATAGCGAAATCGCCCTTGTGGCTTATTGAGTTAGGATCTAGTGCCCAGAAGTAAGCTGTTCACTGTCGATTCGTCATCAATGCACAATTTCTGCAGATGACAATCCAACATGAGAAGTTCTGGAAAGAGTAGATAAGTGCTGGCCTGGGAAGGTTCTCTGGACCGACATCAGCCGGAGGATTGCCCAACATGCCTAATTCTCCGCGGGGAATTGTCAAATGTCTAAGTGGGCCTCAACGGGACCAACTCCGGGTTCCGGTGCGGGGGACGGAGACAATGCCCCGTCATGTTCGGCGGCCTTATAAGTGACGAGCAATCCACGAGACGTGATCACAAGCAGTCAAAATACTACCGGAACCATCTGAAGCTCGCGTAGTAACTGAAGATGGTAAACATGACAGAGTTTCAGAACCCCATCATTCCGGGCTTTGCTCCAGACCCCTCGGTCGTCATGGTCGATGGGATCTTCTACCTCGTCACCTCATCCTTCCACATCTTCCCCGGCCTACCCATCTACGCTTCCCGTGACTTACGAAGCTGGAAGCATATAGGTATATTATTGATTCACCGCATAAAATAGAACAATCCATGGCTAACTCGCTGCGTCAGGCAACGCAATCAACCGCCCAGAGCAAATCACTCTCGCCAACGCAGGCACAAACTCCTTCACCCTTGACACCGGCCACACAATGATCGCAACAGGCGGCCTCTTCGCCGCCACCATCCGTCACCACCGCAGGCGATTCTACATCGTCTGCACAAACTGCGGCTCCTCAAACGGATCCTCCGACTTGCAGAACTTTATCATCCATACCTCTGATATCTGGAGCGGACAGTGGACTGACCCCGTATCAGTAGACTTCCACGGGATCGATCCAAGTCTGTTCTTCGATGACGACGATCGCGTGTATTTCCAGGGGTGCTTCGTCATGGACCGCTCAAAGCAGCCGAGTTGTACGATCAAGCAAGTTGAAGTTGATGTTCTCACCGGGAAGCAGCTTTCTGAGCAACGAGATATTTGGGGCGGGTACGCGAGATACGATACCGAGGGGCCGCATGTGTATAAAGTCGATGGGTGGTATTACCTCCTGGTAGCCGAAGGCGGGACTTTTGAGCACCACATGCTTTCCATCGCGAGATCAAGAGACATATGGGGACCGTACGAAAGCTTCGAAGGGAACCCGATCATGACGGCGGATGGGAAGGATGAGTACATCCAGAACATCGGTCACGGGGAACTGTTTCAGGACGCGAGGGGAGCATGGTGGGCTGCGGTGCTCGGCGTCAGGAGGGATGGTGATGGATGCGCTGCCTTGGGGCGTGAGAGTTTTCTGACGCCTGTTGAGTGGCCTGAGGGGGGATGGCCAAGGATAACTCAGCCCAAGATGGAGTTTGAGAGGGGGTTTGTGGAGGCTGCGTCGAGCTTGGATGTACAAGCTTTGAAACCACCTGCCGGTGTCACGGGTGTCTTGATCAGGGATCCCGACTTTGCCAAGTACCGGCTCTCCGAGGATGACGAAAACAAAGTTACACTATTGCCAAGCCGCAACGGATTCTCAAGTCCTACAGGAACTTGCACTTTTCTCGGGAGAAGGCAAAGATCTTTGGCAACTTACGCCATTGCTTCTCTCAAGCTAGACGACAACATGAAGTCAGCAGAGGGGCTTCGAGCAGGTTTGGCAATGTACAGAGACAGCGCCCGACACGTCTCAATAGCGTTCGACTATGATGTTAAGGCCATCGTCTGCCACGCCTTCAACTCTGCGTCTGGCCTCGACAAAGTCTTCTCAAAAACCCTTCCTCTGGGGAACAAGGCACGGAAGATCAATTTCAAGATCCAAGCTTCGGAGACTGAGTGGAAGTTCTATGCTGCACTGCATGATGAGGATGGTGCTGCTTTTGGCAGCGAAAGTCTCAACCTGGGTAATTGCAGTTGGGAAGAGATCGGGGTGGCTGCGGTCAAGGATCTTGATGCCCGGGACTTCACGGGGCCCATCCTGGGCATTTTTGCTCAGGCTTCAGTTAAGGAGACTGAAGATACACCGGTTACGTTCTCTCACTT